CATCGTATACATATTATACAATATAAAACAGATGAGCAGATGAGAAGGAGATGGAAAAAATAATACAAGAAATATCAACAAAAATGTATAAAAATCGGCAACATTCTGGAAGAAGTTAATCACAGCGCTCTAAAATAGAAGATGAAACAGAATAAAATCTTGAATTTAAGGTTTACCGAATGGGTATTTACCATCTGTCTCTCTCTCTCTCTCTCTCTCTCTCTCTCTCTCTCTCTCTCTCTCTTCTGCTGTGTGTTTTTCAAGGCTTGGCTTTTGAATGATAACTGTAAGATCACAGCATCATCGTTAAGCGTGCTGATGTTGACTCATGAAAGAAAATTAAGTAGGTAACGAATTCTATATTAAGATTGATGCACTATGCTGGAAGTATAGCTGTAGACCGTAGAGCTGGGAGACGCAGACGAGGGCAGTCTGAATGATTTTTCTATTTATATATTGATTACAATTCTTCTGCTGTTATCTTTCATCTTTACGGTTGGAAGCTCTCTGGACTCGTATATATTTAGTACTTTCCGTAATTTAGAAAGTCTGCGAATCTGTTTGTTTAGTGGGCGTGAAGCGTCATCAGCATTGGCAAAAGTTCTAAGTAAATAGTCAAGAGATGACAGATAAAACATTCGAGAAGTTGAGATACTCTAACAAATTTCTACAGGAGTGATTGATTAATGGCTTCATTGTCGTATATGCTGAGTGTATTACGCACGATATTATAAAGTTGTTGAGCAAATTTATGAACTTGTTGAATCTAAAAATGAAAACTGATCAAATATACTCTACAAAGGCCTATCTCTAATGGCCTCTAAAATCAATTATTTTTTAATATAAAACCTACCAAAAAAATCAACTATAAAATCTATGTCTGTATGTCTTCATTAAATCAATTTCAGACAAAGCTCATTGCATAGATAAATACTTAGATAGCTATAGAAAAAGTGTAGTATTCAAAGACAGATATGTAATTTATGATGCCTCCTCCTTTGTCTGCTTGAAGTGTTACACATTACGTGACAAAATTATAATATCTATAGGTCTAGGGTATGCGAAGTTCTAAGGCAATGCTGAAAGACAAACAGAAACCCGTTGAAATTAGAAATTGATTAGTTGAGCCACGGGCTTTTAGGGGTTTTATGCGTGACATATATCAATTTTATGGCCAGATTTTGGTTGCTAATTAAAGCCGAACGCCAACGCAAATAGAAAGCCAAATGTGGCATTGACTTCAATGGAATTGACCGATTTTGACCTAACCAGACGACAGCAAATGGAGCAGCAGCAGAGCAAGAGGCAGTTCTGCTCATTAGGATTGCAGAGCGAGCTGCCGCCCATTGATGTGGGCCATTAGAAGCACGATAAGAGCTTCTAAATGGTGTTGAAACGTTTAGCAATGCGTTTTGGGTGGCAGCCGAAGGTAGGAAGAAGCAGCAATAGCCGCAATTGTTACAATTCTCAGACTCACTTTCAATGCGTGTGACATATATTTTGACCACTCACAGACATACACACCTATACATATACATACGTACACTCTATAAAATATATTGATAAATCGCATTGAATGCCAAGCACGTGCATGACCGCCAATACACCTGATTTGGTTAACAGGTAGCTGGCATTTTGTCACAAAACGTTGACAAAGCTTGACTTTGAAACGGTTTGCGACACAAAGAGTAAAAAAACCTAAAAACCATAAAATCAAAGAAAAACCAAAACAATTGAAATGCAATCCAAGTTTAGTTGACTACAGAAAAAATGCAAAATAAAAAGCACAATTAAATGCAGTGACATTGGTAAAAAAAAAACACACACACATACAAACATTTCTATAAAATGTGTTTCAAAATCAAAAAACTTAGGCGACAAACTGCGCAGGCAACGAATTTAGCTTTTTTTGTTGAAGTTCATTGGCTTGCAGATTGATTGGCTGATTGCTTAATAATCTAGAGCCGGATTAAGGTTTTTACACCACATATATACATATATAAATATAAATAATTTGGTGCCTTTACACGCCAACAACTTAATATGCCGGCCCAGATCTAATCATGCAACAAATGGCGCTCAAAGAGTCATTCGCACAAGCACTTAATTGTTCTTGTATTTCTTCTTCTTGTCTAGAACTTTAGCGAACTGCTGCGGCTGCTGTAATTATATATATAAATAAATAAATAATAATTGAAGAAAAACGTTTCTTTTGCAGACCCACACACGCAAAACAAAAAATTAAATAAAATGATTTCGCGCCGCAAGATTATATCGCGTTCCCTGGACAATTTGGATGCCATTGGGCAGGAGGAACAGGAGGAAGATGTCTGGCACGATCGCGAAAAGCTGTTCCGGGTAAGCAAAGCAAACGAGGTGTACAACGGGCAATATTTTTGGTGCACAAGGTATCGATTCCATATTGTTTAATCTTTAGTCAGATTAGATAGATTGTAGACTCTAGATTTTCAAATGTGCGATATATACTCAAATAACTAAAGCTTTACAGCGATATATTTACATTTCGCAAACATTCAAATTGTTATCGATGAACGCACGATAAATCGAAGTCTTATACCATAATAGCTCTCTAGGTCTTATACTCTTATACGCTCATAAGAGCTGACACAAACTGGCAGAATTAAATAGATTTGGCTATTATTATATGTAGATCAAGAGTATATATAGTGCAAACTGAACCTATATACTTACTAAATTCATATCATGCTAATTCCTTCTTTACATCTTTGCAGGATCACATCAACGAAGTGCTAACCAAGTGGGAGCAAATCGATGATGAAATATGGGCCAAGATCATTGTCTTCGAGAAGAATCGGCGCGTGGCCAAGGCCTATGCGCGCTCCAATGTGATCACCATTAATGGTTCCAAGCATGGCTTCGATGGAGTACGGTAAGTAGTACCAGCTGCCTTCCACAGACTAGACACTAACTGTTCCATTTTTTCGCAGAATTGGCCTGAATGGCTTTGAGAATCCCATGCGAGATGCAGAGACAAAAGTCATTAAAAAATCAATAGGAGATGGCTTTAAGATCAAAATGGACGACACTGGCAATATATTTATTAAACGATATGGCAAGAGCAGCATCTATGTGAATCACACAGCGCTGGCCAATGAGGAATCGGTGGTTGGAGCTGATATTCTGCAAATGCCACAAATGTCGCTCACAGCGGGCACCTCCTCAAGGCTGTTCGACATGAAGAAATTTCAGAATAATATTAATCGGGAATTCGCGCGTAGCTATCCGGAACGAAGCCGTTTGGAACGACAATGTCTATCGGCCGTCTCGCTGGTCAAGTCAAACAATAATCTAATCAATACACCCCTCTGGATAATGGTCATCAATGTGGTTGCCATGGATATGCTTAAGAATCGTTTGCAATCGTTGCCCAAGTCGTTAGACGCATTGGGCATGCGAGTGCCTCTCACACATAGCAATGAGGATCCGTACTCAACGATTGAGAGTCAAGTGGGTTTAATTTATCCTACACCAGCAGCCTCTGATGAATCCCAGTCCTCGAGCAATTCAAGCAAGGGCAGGCGCAGCGTCTTCAGCGCGGCCTTCCTCAACGAAAGTCCTTATGTGCCAAAGGTAAGTGATATCGATGTATACCTATCGCTGCTGTGAATTCTTATCGGGATACTTAAAACCTTGGCAGTATCGATATGTTTTAATTAAAAATGCTAATTATCAATCCTATTCTCTATTTCAGCCGGACTACGAGGTGGCATCTATGGCTTCAATGACTTCCCTGACCCCCGTTTATACGGAAAAGAAGCAGCAAAAGAATTCGCCACAGCGCAAAAAGCAGGATGATCCATACTATTGCGGCCTGCTGGCACGCATTCCCAATTTTATTAAGTCGAACAAACAGCAGTGCGCCAGCAAGCCCAAAAAGGAGCCAAAAATCTCACGCAAGATATCGGCACAGCATCATCAGTTCCTGCTAGCCGCACAGCAACAACAACAACAGTCACTGCAATCGACGACGCCCATACCCATCGCAACGTTCCATCATTCCTATTTCCCCTACAAACTCTATCCACCGCAGCATCGACTGTCGCAGTCACAGCTCTCTCTCTGGGATGCGCGTAGTCTAATCAGCGCACATGGTAGGTGCTTTGATATGTCCTGTTTAGAAAAGTAACGCATCTCTAATATTCTCTCTATCTCTTGCAGAATGAGCGCTGTATGAAACTGGCCCTAATTTATTCATCGCCTAGCATTATATTAAAATTTATTTAGTCAAAGCATATTTTTTTAATTTTTGATCAGTGGAATGCATTTCGCTCAGTTTTGTGATCATAAATTATGCGAAATGCAGCCATCTATTATAATTATTAGAGCATACTTTTGGGCATATGCCTAAAATAATACCCATTAACACTTCAACTAATTAAATCGGCGTTATAGATTAGACACCGGAGATGAGAGATTTAATGATTATGCAATTTGTAATAATTAATTAAAATTTTGCCATAGTTTTTAAATCGTTTAAGACTGAGAACGTCCTAGAGTCGAGTTGTGTGCACAAATAAATACATATATACACGAATCTAAAATATACAAATATGGATTATATAGGAACATATATGCGCACATTTTGATAACAAAGTATAGGAAGGATTTGTTGTCATAGGCAAATTTTTTGCTACTTTAGGCGATTAATTTTTATTGTTTTATTTCCTGTAAATAAATTTTCATATGTAAATAAGTTCGAATATAACATACGTATGTAAAACCTTTGTAAACATTTATGCATTAAAAGAATATTTTCAAATGTGTGATTTTTTATTTGAATAATACAATATTGTACGTTAGCAAAACCTAAAGTGAGTATAAAAGTATAACGTTAAATTTAAAAATTCTTTTGCGCGCTTCGTAACAGCAACATTAACAGCTGCCAGTCTAACATTGCCATGTTAGTTGACATAATAAATCGATAGCTTGCAACTCGATAACAATTAAGCAGTCCTGCTTTTAACTCGACTGTCCGAAGCCAAGCGGCCGCGTAAATTTTGCAAAATTTAATAATTTTTAAACAAATAATTGAAAAGACAACTTTTACTATTACTATTACGCAATAAGCTCATCGAAAAATATATGTGCGACGATTCATATCAAGTACGGTGACACAAATGAAACAGAACGAGTTCCGTTGGCATTCAAAGGTAGTCCAGACAACAGAAACAACAGGTTAGCTTTGTAAATTAAATCATTTTAAGACAGCAAAAATTTGTATTTAATTTGGCGAGCTCTAAATTTAAAGTATTGACGAAAATTAAAAACACGTTTTGGATCTTTATATTATGTGGAAAACTCGAATGATGGGTGAATGTGCGTAAATGCATAATATATAATATAATGTAATAATTCTAAGCCCTACACGCAGTCAAAAATGTAAATTTAAATATTTGTAATACAGATCAAACTGTTACCGTCATCGACAGACCTTCAGCTACCTCAATTGCGACGACGCCAGCGATTGCCCACATGATTATGACGCCCAAATCCAGGGCTGCAGGAGAAAATCCAGTTGCAAGTCCGAAATCAATGGAACCCGACCTAGCAACCAAACGGGATCCACATCTAAAGCAGCTACAACGTGATTTCAATAGTCCCAGCGCCGCCCTACGCATGCGCGCCATAAGTGCACTTAAGTAAGTTCTCACTCTTGCATATGTGTATATAATTAATTATTTATATCACCGGCTAATAGAAGTCCTACTAAAACCGCCTACAATAATTTCGATGTGCCACATGGTGAGATTAGCATTATAACTGCAGAGGAGCGTAATCCGCAGCCGCCGCCATCGCTCTCGGAGATATTGAAGGATGTCATTGTGTACGTCGAAGTGCGCACGGGCAATGATAATCGCTCCGAGGGCGTTAAGAATATCATTACAAAGCTGGGCGCCCAGGCCAACGATCGTCTGTTGCGGTAAACTTAACGTAACTTGACTTTGTATTAAAATATAAAACAAAAATTGTATTTAATAGCAATACCACTCATGTGGTCTTCAAGGATGGCCTCTTGTCCACTTATAAACGGGCACAGAGCTGGAATATACCAATTGTTTCCATCTTATGGATCGAGGCCTGTAAAGTGCAGCGTCGTCTATGTGATCCCACGCAGTTTCCCATTAGCAATATACATATGTATGAATTCCCAGAGCTCTATGGCAAAGTGTCGGTGAGTACCTCAATCGTACCTATATATAGTTATACAACACAAGAGTGAAACAAGATGTGACTTAAATCATTTTTTCCATAGATGAAGAAAATGAATTGAAATGAGATGGTTCTGAATCCATTTTATGCTAATAGACAAGATGATTTTTCATATATTTTGAATTCTGAAAACTCAATGAAAATTTCAAAGTTTATGACAAATATCTCTTTAAATTCAAATTTGTAAAGTTTAATTAAAGCAGCAATTTTACATAAATAAAAGTCTATTATCATTTTATTTACAATTTTCTTACAATTGAGAAATGCTTTAATTAGAATGGTTTCAGAATCATCTTATGAAAGAGTTCAGTTTTGTTAAATAGTGTTGTATAGCTAGTTATCGTATACTATAGAAATATCTCGTATTATTTATGTTATATCTATCTCGCACGTGGTCTTTAAGATGAGCTAACATTGTATTTATTTCTATTTCTGCATCTACATTGCATTTAGTATATAGGATTATCTCTCTTGTTATATCCAGCACGTGGTTTCTAATATCACGATACATTTGCAACTAAGTTGCTTAATTAGGAGCTGCTTAGCGAGTGTCAATTTCTATTGAAAATTGATTTATGTGCATAATCGTTAATCTCAAGCGGCAATCATTGCTATCCATTGGTCAGATATTGTATATATTCCCGATTGTTTCGGAAGCCATCAACTTCAGTTCTTAATGGTCGTTATTTAATTGGTTTATTGGCCCCATAAAAATACTATAAAATAAACAAATTGATTAGTTGTTTAGGCTTTGCCTAAACATATTTACGATAAGGCCGACCGAATGGGGGTGTATATTATCACGTACAAGCCACGATGACTCAGATAAGCAATTGATATGTCTAGTCTGATAGCGCTCTAGTTTACTGGGATGGGTAAGGTGATACCATTAAATTTTATTTATACATATATATATGAGATTCTGCTTTGTAAAATAAAGATATTAGAGTTGGCTTTGTTATAGAATTTACGCTTATAGTACTCGCTGACAGATACCCTTCATACAAAGTGATAGACTACAAATTCCCTGAATTTAAATATTGATTGACGTAGCATGCTATTGAACATTATATAAAAAGTCTTTTTGGATTACTTCCCATATTTTTGTAGTTCCTGAAAGTACAAATTATTGATTAGACTTTACTAACGCAGCTTAAAGAACTAGACCGGAAAATACCCTGTATACAGCTCAGTAGGCATTTACTGTTTTTGTTCAGATTCTTCTCCAATCATTCTTATTGCATAGGAGTAAATCTCAGATAAGCAAAACTGCAAATCATATCCTATGGTGATCGAGTAGAAAATACCCTACATATACTCTCGTACTATCGTGTTTTCCTATTACTAGTCAAACCTTTACATCAGCATACCCTATAGACTATAGCTTCTTACTGGGCAGCTCAAATCAAAACAATTTTAAACGTAATCTTGAACAACAGAAGCCACCGTTTGTTTTAATGATTCATTTCAGAATGATTCAATTGATCGACTAAGAGCTACCCTCTAGCTTAGATTTTTCCTACAAACTTCTTTAAGCATTGCTTCAGCATACCCCTCCATTGCATTTTACTGAGTATAGCTAAAGATGGCAGCACAAAAATATAATAGAAACAAAATGTTGCTATTTGAGTGCCGTCTGCACTTTCGCTCGACAGATTCTTATCACAGACAACAAATGTCAGGCACTTAGCCTAGAGCTCTGGGTCTTGTACACTTTGGGGCTGTGTTTAGGTTATCTAATTCAATTTGCGTGTAACACGTAGTGTACAATATGTCTTATCAGAGGCCAGAGGAAGTTGGCAACACAACAGAGAGAGAGAAGGAGAGAGAGCGAGCACGTTAGCCTGGTTCAAAACTAAAGAAAAACAAATGCAAATTTTCTTAATAAATTTTGTCTTGCACTGAACGTACAGACATTATGGTTTATTACTTAAATATTACGACAGTTCAGTAAAACGAAGATGAACAAAAAGACAGGGCACTTGACAACTTAAAACCTATTTCACATGCGCACGTCTGTTTACAGACAGATATTTAAAAAAAAAAAATTATAAATATGTATATAGTAGTTACTTTTTTTTTGCTTTTACATAACAGGGCAAAAACAATGCAGCCAAGTTAAATATATAAAAAATACTTAGTTACGGTTGGGTTTTTTCTTTCTATCTTTCTTTCGTTCTGATTGCGTTGAACGCGCAGCAGGCAAAAACATTCTCTGAGATTTTTAAGAATATGTATGTATATAAAGGTTACAGAGATATCTGCTAATATATATACTACATGTACATTACTATATGTCTTAAGGCCTGTTTCACTATTTACAATACAATAAAAAATGCGCTTTCGTTTAAGTACGATATTTAAAAGAAATTAACACTATGAATGATTTTTGTGAAGTCCTTTTCCTGGAATGCTTTCTATACATATATGCATACATACATATATATGATGCATAGGAACATGTGTCCTTGTTGTCGGTGTGGACATTGCTTTATCACGATAGCGCCACTTCCAAGCACATCATAATCAGGAATCCAGACACTGTGCCCCATGTCGCAATTGTGCCATTGCCACTGGCATGCGCCTCCGGCAGAATATCATCGGCCACGATGTAGATCATGGCGCCAGCAGCAAATGACAAGGCATAGGGCAATATTAGGTTAGCGAAGGTGACAGCCACCGCTCCTAAGACTCCAAAGATGGGTTCCACCATGCCAGACAATTGACCATACCACAGGGCACGCATCACACTGAAGCCGGCGGCATGCAGGGGCAAGCTGACCGCCAATCCTTCGGGGAAATTCTGTATGCCAATGCCAATGGCCAGATTGCGAGCACTCTCGAATGTCGAGCTATTCGTAGTGCCCACGGCGCCGAAGCTCACGCCCACTGCGAGGCCTTCGGGTATATTGTGCACGGTAATGGCCACCACAAGCAACATGATCCTTTTCCACTGTGACAACGCCTCTTGTGCCCGCTGCTGTTCCAGCGTCGCCTCCGCTGTGTATGTGCATTGCTCCACCTCGCCAATGCTGCCGCCCTTCTTCCTTCTGCGCGACTCGCCGCTGTGCTGCACGCTCAGGCAGTCCGAGAAGCTGTCGAGACTCTTGGAGGCATGCCTATCCGTGGCTGAGCCATTCATTTTCATCTCGTCGATGGCAATGTCTGCCTTATCCTTGCTGTTCTGCGTCATCTGAATCATCATGTTGGTGCTGTTCAAGCCCAGATATGACATCAGCTTGTCGCAGCCATACACAAAGATCGAGCCAAGCAGAAAGCCACCAGCCACGGGCATAAATGAGTAGGAGCCGTACAGATTCGAGGTCTCGGCCATTTCAATGGCTGGGTTGAGCAGTGACCAGAACGAGGCGGCGATCATGACGCCTGCCGCAAAGCCCAATGCCGCATCTAACGAACGTCGCTGATTGCCTCGCACAAAGATGACCAATGCCGCACCTGCTGCTGTCAGACCCCAGGTGAGCAAAGTGCCCAGCAGGGCTTGCGTGACGGGTCCATAACCTGGTATCATCTTTGTGTTTTATTCTGCCTTTATCTAGTGCCTGGCGCTGAATGGCGCTGAATACTGATGATATATTAGATGCGGCCTTGGCACTGCTTGTAGCGTTCTTATTATTTATGTACTTGTAATCGTTATCGCACGGTCCTAGGTAAACCGCAGATACAAAACAAGTTTTCTTCTTGCTGATGCCTCTGTTGGTATTTTTTTTTTTTTTTTTTTTTAATTATTTTTCCGCGCAACAGCCGACACGAACAGAGGCGTTGCCACGTTCCTATTTGTTCTTTTTTCTCTTCCGCTCAGATTTTGTATTATTTCTTTAAACAATTGTTATTTTTGTACCGATTGACAATTGTGGCAAAACAAACAAAACGTAAAAACACAAAAATATGGTAAGAACTTATTGTTGGCTCTCTCACTCGCTTTCTCTCTCCCTCTCTCTTTTCTGCCGACGCCGCTTACAGCTGCCTGCTGAATGAATTTGATTTTAGTTGCAAATGGGGCAACACTTGTTGCTTATCTAGCGCGGATGCGTGCGTTTAATTAAAATTGTGTCTGCTTTATAGAACGTGTGTTATCGCGTAATACTGCTAGTTTTATTTTTTAGCTAAAACATAGTTTTAGAACGTTCGTTCGTTTAGTTTGCTTTACTAGATGCGAGCGCGACCAACGCTGAGTGAGCCGCAGACTGAGGCTGTCGGCTGTGCTGTGGCAATTTTTATACAGCAAGTGGGGACTGGCGCTCTTGCTACAGCGCAGTCGCCGTGGGAGAGCAACCAGGGCTGCAAAGTCAACAACAGCCAGTGCGTACACACCTGTTTGTATTTAAAAATTCAAACACACAGATTTAGCCGCATTTTAATAGAAAAATGTTTTCAATTATTATTTAAACAATACTTATTGGCAGTAACAAGCAAATTATGTTACTTATATTTAATATATTCTTATGTAGAAATGTTAAAAGCGCAGCAATATTAACAGTCTCCAATTAAGAGGGAAAGAGTGAGAGAGATAAAAGTTGCGCTAATATAAACAAAAGTTAGCAACGATTCAGTTATCACGTACATTATAAACAAATAAAACAGTAGGTTTTTAGCTAAAGAAAAGTGACAGTTGCGAAGTCAGCAGCAACAGCAGCAGTCTTATCCATGGCATCATTGGGGAAAACAAGTGCTTTATCATTTGTTGTCCAGCTAAATCTGGTCTTCTATCTAACTCGATATTATTCTTTCTTATAGCGCGTACGTTGTATGCAACCAGACTCGGAGCTTAATAAGAGACGAAAACGTCCTGGAACGCCCACTGGCAGTAAAGATGTAACGCCGAAGTCGTCAGCAAGGTCCTTAACTACAAGCACAGCGCAGGTTAGTTTTCCTCGATCTACTTCATAAATAAGTCATTTAATATATTTCTCTCTTGCAGACTAATATCACGCGATTCTTCAACACTCTCAGCAAAAACAAGGAGCAAGATGTGGGTGCAGAATCGCCAGCTACTAAGCTGCTCAATAGGTAATTATAATTATAATTATATATATCTAGGATGATTGTTAATTCGTTTATCATAATATTATGACTGTCTAAACTTTAAACGTTTTTTATTTTTGTATTCGTTTTACAACATCCTCAGAATAAACAACGGCTGCTTTACACCATTTAAGATGCAGAACAAAGCAGACACGCCAGCTCCAAAGGAGAATGAGGAGATTCCCAAACATGATGAGATTCATAAGGAAGCGACTTTCGTCCAAGAGCAGAGTGTGGGCAGGAATAGCAGGCGTAGCACCTCGGTGACTGTGGAGTCCACCCAAGACAAACCGCGACCGCTGCGACAACTTCGCCGGCGTAGTTTGGCTTATGTGTGCTCAGCACCTGAGATTGTAGCTGAAAAACCGTCAACAGGATCACGTTTGACACGACGACGCAGCCAATTGAACATAACAGAGAAAGCTAACACAGATGAAAAGGAGTCAGAGACAGCAGCCGCAGCAGTGGCTCCACCAGTAATCGAGCCACGAATAACACGTCGTCGTAGCCTGCAGCTGTTAACAACTAAAACAGATTCACAAGAGGAAATTCTTAGTGTACGTCGTCGCAGTTTCTCCCAAAACGCTACTTTAGAGCCGAGCACGCCAAAACAGGTCAAGAAGCCGTCTCCATTTCAAGCCATAGCAGAGGAGCCTCAATGCCTGGACACGGCAATGTCCATTGTAGAGCCAACGCCACCGCCCAACAAAACAAACTATGTGCAAGAAACAATGGAAATAAGCTCATCCCACGCGCTTACAATTGGACGAGCTCGTGAACGTCGTACTTTATATACCGTAGAGCAAATGCAGATTAGCGATGTCAATAATGAAAACAGAAATCCGTATTTGGAAGATATATTTGTAAATTCGCCAATGAATGTAAACACACAAACATCGCTGAACAGCTTCGACGGGCACACACCTGTGCCGGTGTTTAGCTCCACTCGTTTGCCAGGCAGCGAGAAGAGCTCAACCTCGAATCGTCGTCGCACGCTGTTCAATGTGGACATGGATCACATTAATGAGCGCATCAATTCAATTAATAGCAAATCGCAGCGACGATCGCTGGCACTAGCCAATCAAGCGGAGCTGGGAGAGAGCTGTGCACTTGCTACACCACCACCGCCACCAGCACCAGCACCACCACTGCAGGCAGTGGCCTTGAATACGCCGTCAACACCCAAGGATCAACAGTCCACAGAGCCCAAGATGCGTCGACTCTTTACGCCAAATGAATCAATTATGTTAGCATCGTCATCGTCTAGCACCAAATCTCGTCCGAGCAAGAATAGCAGCAGTGCCTCCACGCACACGGTGAAGAGACGACGCACCATGGGATCGCTGAAACCAACGGCAGCAGTTGGCCCCAATGTGCAAAAGAAATACGAAAAGCCGAAAAACACTGGTTCGAAGGATGTATTTGTGACGCCATTCGATTCAGATGCCACTAATGAGAGTGCATCCGAGTCGCATGGCGATTGTGTGACGTCTGGAGCAAAGCGTAAAATCGTACATACGCTAGTGCACACGAACATGCACAAGGAGCAGGTGCAAATCATCCATAAGGTTGGTAGCACAACATCCTGGCCTTGACTTGAGAAACTCTACTCGCTTAGTTTATAGATCTAGCTATAGATTATAGATATAGATAGTTTTCTTTCTCTCTATATGTACCCTATGTATATGTATACTATGTGCAAAAGTTGTTTTATATCGTCTTAATTGATTCATTTGTATTTCTATAGTTATTGAGTTTCTCGAGTCTGATTTTTCAAGTGCAACGCCCGACTTATTTTTGTTCGTAATTATTATTGATAAAACATAGTTGAACTTGCGGTAGTCGTAAAGCATCAGCGCGTTTCACACAAATAAATTAAACATCAAAATATTTATACAAAACAAGAGTTGACTCCACTTTGTGCTCGATTAATGGCTTTAGTCATTAATTAACCAATATATTCATGCATCCATCCATTGATTCTATTGTACCCTCACTCACTCACCCCCATCCCGGCATTCACAATTGCTTGCCATGCCATCCCAGGCCATACGCAAGCTCCGTGGCATGCGTCTGGATCCCACAGTGACCAAGCGAACGACCCATTTGGTTAGTCTGGAGCCGAGGAGAACGTTAAATCTATTGCGTGGTTTGATGCGAGGCGTTTGGATTGTTAACTTCAAGTGGATAATCGATTCGGTTCATGCTGGCAAATGGCTGAAAGAAGAGAAATATGAACTGAGTTCATTCTCACGGGCCGTTGAGGTGAGCTATTGGCAAACTACAATTAAAAGTGTCATAATTTGTTACCCGATCCCCGCTAGATTTGCCGCGCGGAACGTCAAGCCTTCGGCTCATCTTATCGCTGCGAACTATTCCGTTTTATGGAGGTTTTCTACGTGTCCTCGCTGTGTCGACCCATCACATTCAACAATATCAAGGAGCTGCTGCTTTTGGGTGGTGCCAAGCTGACCGAGAATCGCTACAAGGCCAAATTTATTGTGGGTGACAAGAGACGCGCGGAGGATGATCGCATCTACCTGTCGCCACTGTGGGTGCTGGATAGCATATCGGCAATGCAGGTGCAAAGGTTTGGCAAGTATCTGATGAAAAGTGCCATTGTGACGCCGTTTGGCATACGCTACGAGGACCCGGTGCCGGACCCGGAGGACCAACTGCCGCAGTACCACCAATATCATCAAACACGGCAACATGCCAAGCCCTGCTTCAAGGACCCAGCTCTGGTGCTCAGCAAATAGCATTACGTGTCCTGCTTTACCATATACATAATTGCACTGAAGGTTTTGACCCCAACCAGGTTTCCTCCTTTTAATCGTTTCATTCGTCAAGAATTGTATATATTTGAAATTATATATTTAACATACTCAAATTAAAGACAAGTTGTGTTCCAAGTTGCAAATATAACCTTCGCTTTATTCTGTTTAAATGAGGTAAAGTTCTGTTGTATAGTTAAGCAGTTCCTTGTACTTCATCTTGGGTTTTGTACTTTCATGTTTCACATTTGGCAGCGGATAAAGTGACAAAATGATAATGGAATGGCTGAAAAGCAAAAACAAAACATAAAAATGTTTCATCGTGGGAAAAAATAAATACAAAATGTGCTTTTATTTGTTGTAAATAAGTTTATCTTTTCGCTTCTAGTATTGTTTCCTTGTTGTTTTTTATATAGTGTACAAAGTAGTGTGCAAAACAAAAATAAGGGATATAAAAAATCAAAATTTTAATTTTAACGAATACACGATATATAAATGCTATACGCCTGCGCTACTGCTGCTACACAAATTATATACGAACTATGAAAAAATATGATATCATTATAAAATCAATTTACTATAATATCATATATATATTTATGTGGTAGGTAAACTTAAGATTGAGGGTAAAAATTTAATTTTGTTTCTTGAAATCTGCAATTGGGTGTATGTGCTCCATTTTCCCACTCAATCGTCTAGGCGGCGATGGCGTTTAACATTCGTATCCGACGAAATTCTTTACGATGGAAAAAATTAAACTTTTGCTTTTGCTGGAACATCATCTTATCATTCATCTTGCCCAGGACAGGTGTTTGTGTTCGACTACTGTTGTGCTTATCATTGTTGTTGTTATAACTGCTGCTGTTGTTGCTATTGTTGTTGCTGCTGTTGAGTTCTGGCTGCTGCTTCATCATAATGTTGTTATTATTGATAGAAACCAGCTACTTCTTGCCCTTGGTGGCCTTCTCGGCGGCCTTGGTGACCTTGCCACCGGAAGCATCCTTGAAGTTGACAGCCTTGATGACACCGACAGCGACAGTCTGTCTCATGTCACGGACAGCGAAACGACCTAGAGGAGGGAACTCCTGGAAGGACTCAACGCACAGAGGCTTGGAGGGCACCAAGTTGACGATGGCAGCATCACCAGACTTGATGAACTTGGGGTTCTCCTCAGTGGTCTTGCCGGAACGACGGTCGACCTTCTCCTTGATCTCAGCGAACTTGCAAGCAATATGAGCGGTGTGGCAATCCAACACTGGAGTGTAGCCGTTGGCAATCTGGCCAGGGTGGTTCAACACGATGACCTGAGCGGTGAAATCGGCGGCACCCCTGGGGGGGCTGGCCTTGGAGTCACCGGCAACATAGCCACGACGCAGCTCCTTAACGGAGACGTTCTTAACGTTGAAACCAACATTGTCACCGGGAACGGCCTCGGTGAGGGCTTCGTGGTGCATCTCCACGGACTTAACCTCAGTGGTGATGTTAGCTGGGGCGAACACAACAACGCAGCCGGGCTTCAAGACACCAGTCTCCACACGACCGACGGGTACTGTTCCGATACCGCCAATTTTGTAGACATCCTGCAGGGGCAGACGCAGGGGCTTCTCGGTTGGGCGGGAGGGAGGCAGGATAGCATCGAGGGCATCGATGAGGGTCTTGCCTTCAGCATTACCCTCCTTGCGCTCCACCTTCCATCCCTTGAACCAGGGCATGTTGGTCGATGGTTCCAACATGTTGTCGCCGTGCCATCCGGAGATGGGCACAAAGGCAACAGCCGCCGGGTTGTAGCCGATCTTCTTGATGTACGAAGACACTTCCTTCTTGATTTCCTCATAACGAGCCTCGCTGTATGGTGGCTCAGATGAATCCATCTTGTTGACACCAACAATCAGCTGCTTGACACCCAGGGTGAAAGCAAGCAGAGCGTGCTCGCGAGTCTGACCGTTCTTGGAAATACCGGCCTCGAACTCACCAGTACCAGCAGCAACAATCAAGACAGCACAATCGGCCTGGGAGGTACCAGTGATCATGTTCTTGATGAAATCTCTGTGGCCAGGAGCATCGATGATGGTCACGTAGTACTTGGCAGTCTCGAACTTCCACAGAGCGATATCAATGGTGATACCACGCTCACGCTCGGCCTTCAATTTATCCAAAACCCATGCGTACTTGAACGAGCCCTTGCCCATCTCCTGGGCTTCCTTCTCGAACTTCTCAATGGTACGCTTGTCGATACCACCGCACTTGTAGATCAAGTGACCGGTGGTGGTGGACTTGCCGGAGTCGACGTGTCCAATCACGACAATGTTGATGTGAATCTTTTCCTTGCCCATCTTGTTTTATACGAGCTAGCGTGCAGTAGGTTTATGTTTGGAAGTGTGTGTGTGTACGGGTCCACAGGTACAATCAGCAATCGGGGGGAAGAAATGGAAGGGTAAATAAAATTTGTTAGTTAAAAACAATTAACATGGGTCGGCAAGTATTAGTAAAACGAGTGTAGACAAATTCTAATCATTATCATATTTTGCCAACGCGTTTATAAAATTCAACTTTGGTTTCATATACCAGCGCAGTTCGACCTAACCTCAAAACGAAACGTGTTTGCGCTCGCATTTGCTATACACTGGCATCGGCGAGCACACATTGCTTTGAGGTTAGGTTTAGCCGCAGCCGCATGTCTCGGTGGTGGAAGTATATGTATGTATGTGTAACAAAGGCACAAAACGAAACTGGCAACAAAAGGGAACGTGCAAAGAAAAATTATCATTAAAAAAAAAAACTAATTCGCAACTACATTATAACTCGATTTTTGTCAGTGAATTTGGTATTTTTGCTATCCTCATTATTATTCAGTAGCAGAACTTAGGCAATTTATCATCATATAAAAATCGAGATAATTAGAACGTAATCAAATGAAATTCAATATGTATGTTTGTACATACACATACAAGCATACAATTTGAATACATATGTGCAAAGAAAATTCCAGCAAATCTAATCTATCCATGTGGTTGTGTGTGAGTGCGTGACGCTGTTGCCGGCCGCTTCATCGGCACCAAAGAGCAAGTGAGAAAGTAAAATAAAATGGCGACCGAGCAATGATTCGAACAAAGCAGACGATCTGGCAGTGGTTGGCAGAGCAATTGGGAACGATCGAAAAATGCATGTATTGCATGCCGTCTCCGGCCATCTTGGACTAGAAGTTCATGTGAAGATAACAATTTTTTCAATGTGTTGAATTTTTGTCAATTCAACAATATAGAATATATTTAATTCGCATACAGTGGCTGTTCGCTTGTGATAGTATCGCTTGACTTTTGTATTTTATTGCAGCAAGCACTTTCTGATTAGTCAGTCACACCATCGGCTTGTGAGCCGCCATCTTGAAATTCTATGCGTTCATACGTATAGAGAAAGGTGGAAAATTTTGCGCATGCAAAAAAAAGACACGCTTCGCATGCTGATTAAATTTTAGCAACTATTTTTTTTAGATTGCAAATAGTTGGAGATGCCGATTGGCAATTTTAGATGTTGCATTCATACAAGTTGTTTTATGATCGGATTTATGAATTAAACCATTCACATGTGCCACGCACATGTGGGCGTGGCATCACCGACACCAATTACACCATATTGCAGAAATACTAAGTGACTCATTTGAGCAAATAAATTCCATAAACAAATTTTAGTTATGGTGAAATTTCCATCGCTAGCTGCTTGCCACGTGTTTGCGCTTCAGTCATCGTCACCACCTTTCACTTTGATTCGGCTTAGAGGTTAACTGTCGAGTGCCCACACACGCATCCACATGTTATCAAATATGCAGATTTGTTAAAGTCCAATTGCATATTTGTTTATAAATTGATTGTTAATGCACTCAGCTGGTTTATTGCACACATATATTTCCGATTTAAACAGGTATGCACTCAAATTTCTTTTTTCACTTGGCAACAGAACTTACTCTCGAACAAATTGAATGAGAAATCACAAAGTCTATGCTATTCCGGCGACAGACTTGAACAAAGTGAACGAGTGTTCGGCGTAACAGGAAACTTGTAGCCTCGTTTCTGCAAGCGTGGCGTTACAGAGTCGCACTGCCAGTATCGAATATTCATTGAATAAATTGCGCTGATATGCGCTGATCTGTTAGTTAACAGATACCAAGAATGTTAAATGTGGAGTAACTATGTTAGTCGGTCGGTCACTCCCCCAACAGTGTTATAAAATGTCAATGACGTGGCTTAGACCGTCAAAACGTATCCAATTCTCGTAAAGCATTTGACCGGTCTAGACGTAAATTATCGTAGCAGCCGGTTGACATTACAGTATTTCTTGAAATATATATTTACAGATTTTTTTTTATTAATAAGTAACAAAGTACGAAATGTGGCGCTTATTAGCTGTTCTCGCATGCAGCTTTATTGCAATAGTTGCTGGTGCTGAGCAAGATGTGCTGGAACTTGGCGATGACAATTTCGCCTCCACTTTGAAGCAGCATGAGACCACATTGGTTATGTTCTACGCACCCTGGTAAGTTGGGGCGGTGGGTGTGGCAGCGCTCACAATTGCAACGTCAATTGTTAATATTAAGTGAATTGTGTGACCATGATTAATCGAATTAAAAGTACACGTCAGCGGCTGCCGTGTAAAAGAAAGGCCACATACATATAGCCAGGAATTGACAAGTCAGCGTCGGCCATTTTAGCTTGTATACATATGTACATACATGCATATGTATGCGCGAATAGATGCATGTGTGTGCGTGTATGCGGGCTGATAAAGTAAGCTGTAAACTTGTCTAAGCTAATGCATGAACAAATAGCTTTCTGTGCATATGTATCTGTGTTTTTGTTTGTTTGTGTAGACAAAGAAGAAATTAAGTTGCGCAGCTTGAAACGCCGGCCGGTTCGCTGTGCTTGATTTCAAATGCCACATCTTGAACAAAATTGACTTATCAGCTCCAGCATACGCACAGAACAAGCTGTTTAATTGAGTCTTGCTAGTATGATAAGAGAGCGCGCACATGAACTACGCTCAGATAAGCTCTGAAATGAATTTATACCCTGTTGGTTATGGGCTTCATTGGGTATACACTGCTAAATTCTAAGTACGTGTTAACTAAATCAATAAATTCTTTTTCTTAAATCAAGGTCAATTCTGAAAAGATGGATAGTTCCTAATGTTTCTCTTAATTGTTCTTATTGATAAGTACAAGCCAAAGACAGTCTGATAAACATAAAATGAATGGGTTTGCTAGTGTAGTTCAATTTCGGTACAAAGAAGATAGCATCTCCTATTTCCTTGTACTCAACTTGTTTTTTGATAACCGAAACTACGATATGTTTTCTGAATAACTGACGTGTCTTTAATAACGTTTTCTTCTGATTTTAGGTGCGGCCACTGCAAGCGTTTGAAGCCCGAATATGCCAAAGCTGCTGAGATTATTAAAGATGACGATCCACCAATCAAATTGGCCAAGGTAATCCTAATGCATACCAAAAGCAATCAATATCCATTTCAACTTTATTGTCTTTTTTATCTCAAAGGTCGACTGCACAGAAGCCGGCAAGGAGACGTGCAGCAAGTACTCAGTGAGTGGCTATCCAACGCTGAAGATCTTCCGCCAGGACGAGGTGTCGCAGGACTACAACGGACCACGCGAGGCTAATGGCATTGCCAAGTATATGCGTGCTCAGGTTGGACCTGCATCTAAGCAGGTGCGCAGCATTGAGGAGCTAGCCAAATTCCTGGACACTAAGGATACAACTATCTTTGGCTATTTCAAAGACATTGACTCCAAATTGGCAAAGACTTTCCTGAAGTTTGCTGACAAGAATCGTGAGAAATACCGTTTTGGACACAGCGAAGACGAGGAAGTGCTTAAGCAGCAAGGCGAAACGTAAGTGAGGCAGGACTAAAACTAAGCAAGACTCAAGATCCGTTAGATCAATAATTCATATACATATATTTTTTAACTTTAATAAATAGTTTGTAATTTTTTTGTATAATGTAATTCATGTCCGATTGCAAATCGCCAACTAGTTTATAACTCTGTAGATAGCTTATAAGCTTTGTTAAGGTAGTTAATGTCAGTTAATTGGAATTATTAATGCTTTACAATTTGTTTTATCTTTCATATATTTCATAGAGATAAGATTGTGCTGATACGCGCACCACACTTGGCCAACAAATTTGAGTCGTCCACAATTAAGTTTGAAGGTAGCTCCGAGTCTGATTTGATCACTTTCGTCAAGGAGAACTAGTAAGTTAAACTTAGCTAATTCCACATGATTTTGCAGCAGCTAACGATTCCCTCTTGTAGCCATGGTTTGGTGGGCCACCGCACACAGGACACTGCTCGCGACTTCCAGAATCCTTTGATTACTGCTTACTATGCTGTTGATTACCAGAAGAACCCCAAGGGCACGAACTACTGGCGAAACCGTGTTTTGAAGGTGGCCAAGGAGTTTGTTGGCCAGATTAACTTTGCCATCAGCTCGAAGGATGATTTCCAGCATGAGTTGAATGAATATGGCTACGATTTCGTTGGTGACAAGCCCGTCATTTTGGCACGCGATGCCAAGAATCTCAAATATGCCCTGAAGGAGGAATTCTCCGTGGAGAATCTGCAAGACTTTGTGGAGAAGTTGCTGGCCAACGAACTGGAACCCTACATCAAGAGCGAGCCAGTGCCCGAGTCGAATGATGCACCTGTTAAGGTGGCCGTCGCCAAGAACTTCGATGAAGTAGTCATCAACAATGGCAAGGATACGCTGGTCGAGTTCTATGCCCCCTGGTGCGGACACTGCAAGAAACTGACTCCCATCTACGAGGAGCTGGCCGAGAAACTGCAAAATGAAGATGTAGCCATTGTCAAAATGGATGCCACGGCCAACGATGTGCCTCCAGAGTTCAATGTGCGCGGTTTCCCCACACTCTTCTGGCTGCCCAAGGACTCGAAGAACAAGCCCGTCAGCTACAATGGAGGTCGCGAACTGGACGACTTCATCAAATACATTGCCAAGGAGGCCACCACAGAACTGAAGAGCTTCGATCGCAGTGGCAAGCCCAAGAAGACTGAGCTGTAGAGGCCCCTCTGTCTCTTGCTCTCTTCTTCTAAATTAGCTGTAACTAATTAGCATTTCCATATTTTTGTAAAATCGAATGCATTCTCAGCCAACCGCCAATCGCAAAAGCAGCAAAAGCAGCAAAACAAATAATAACGTGTATTAAATTATTTAATAGTGTGATTCTTGAAATTCAATTAATGCTGTCAATAAACGTAAAATCTACTTTCATCTTATAATTAATATATTATACACATTTCCATATATGTATATGTATTTAAGCTTAAAATCGATTGTCAGCCATATATAGTAGAGTCGGTTTATACTGAAAATTGAGTCGCTGCATTTAGATGCTCCAAACTCTCCTCCATCATCAAGCGGAACCAATCGGGTATAAACGTATATTCGCTTCGTTCCTCCGCATATTTATATTTAATATTTCCATTCTCAGCATCGTATTCTAAGAGATAAACTGTGCTGGCGCTATCCACATCAGCCAAAAGCGTTTTAATGTTGCCCAAGCAACGCCGTAGAAAATGTCCACATATATTAGGCGACCAGTCGTGCTCCTGTTAAAATTAAGATTTATATTAATTTATGCATAATGCTGTTAGTCTAAGAGGCTTCGGTCTTCTACTCACACACTCCCGCCACAGCTCACGCAGCTTCCTGTGTATAATCTTGTGTACGTTTCCCTGTTTATCATGATAAGCTATATAAATCTTTTCAATGCCAGCTAGAAAAGATTCGGCCCACCATTTGAGCACCTCATTGCGATTATGATCAGACCATTCCCAGGGTTTCATTTTATCCAAACGCAATTTCAGATCCACAAAGGTTTTGGGCAAACCGCAGCTGAATAGTTAACAGTTAAATAGTTAATTACTATACCAATGGGTCGAATATCTAATTTATAGTTACATTGTATTGATCGAGTGCTCTGCTATAATGGGCGCATCGAAGAGCACATGTATGCCACAAATGTCTGTGCTGAAGATACAATAATATTGGCCTTTTAATTTGATTTCTCGAGGTCTATCCGAACTTCCAATGGGGCCAACTAAAGTAAGATATGTGAATAGTTATATATGTTTATCATTAATATCTTGGTAGTTACCTCCAGCGGTCAGGCAACGTTTTTTCAATGCTCTCATCCATTTTGTCATTAATAAATCTTTTTGCTGTGCAACATCTACCGATAAAGGTTGTTCAGTATTTTGCACCGGACACATGTATATCGTATTGCGATATTTGCTTACGGCTAGAGTCCAGTTATTTTTGTACTCATACGGTGCGCACATGATTAACCGTAAAGTCTCACGGCTGCAAACAATATCCGCATCTATGTGCAGAAGTCCCTCATCGTTGCGTTTCGCAAAGTTTTCGAACGAGCACCGCAAAAAGTAGAATAAATTATCCAAATACCGGGGCTTGGGTATGGAAAGTTCTTCCCTGTCTTCGTTACATCGGGCTAGTGAAAATGGAAGTTGGTTGAGCGCTGGTTGACTTAAAAAACAAATTCGCGCAGAAGTATTCTCAAAATGTCCCTCAGGTGACAAACTGTATTCGCCCACATGCGATGGAACTTTAACAGTGGGAAACGATCCTTTATCCTGTGGCGGAGTCGCCCGCGCATTGATCTGTAACACTTTATAATTTGAAAACATTTCAAAAGCGATCGTGAAATTTATAAATGAAATCAAATTTCGCCCAAGCTTTTTTGAACGATGCGCTAAAAACAGTTACTTTAAGCGTTCTTCTTCTATGCTGTCCATTCACCACGAAAATGTAAACAAACCGCTGCGCATGCAGATGAATTGTGGTATTTGGGTTTTTTGACAAATACGGTCACACTTCGACCGGGCAGTGATTGCACTGCACGTGTTTTAAAAATTCGCACGGTTCGCTTCGAATTGGTGCGCTTAAAATTTAGTTTTAATGCAATCGAGTAGTGAAACATGGAAATAAATATCAACAAGCTGCGACGCAGCGTTCAAATGCTGTTGCAGCTTATTGCGGAAAAGCAGCAGAATGATGGGTTTGCATTAAATTTAAAGAAGTTTCTAAAGAAACAGGTAAGCGAAAATTTTACTTGATCTAAAATGTGTTATAACGTGTTTTCTTATGTTTTATGTTCAAGCTGTATGCTGAGCAGGATGTGGAGCGCCTGTTTAACAATCTTAGCGAACAGTTAACGTCGCCGGGTTATACAGTGCCTCTGGCTTTGAGTTTCGAGGAGCACCTGCTGTTACTGTTGACCATGTCGCTGCGTTCGAATCCATCAGATCGAACAGAGAAATATAAATTGGAATGTATTGCCTTGGCTAAGTTGTTGCAGTTGTCAGAGGCTGCCAGGAGGTGAGTAGCATATACCATTCGTATTATTTATATATTAACATATATATTACAGATTCGCCAAGAGCTACTTTCGCAATCGGGCAGCCCCTTTCGAGGTGCAGATGCCCACTAAGGTGCCCAGCAAGAAGTCTAAAAGAACGCACACAAATGGCACTATGGAAGCAACAGATCTAACATGCGATTTGGATTTCATCAAATGTTGCTATCAGCTACTGAAAAGTGACGTAGTCTACTATAGAGAGCTATGGGATTGGTCGCAATTCCTGGCCAGCTATACAGAAAAACAAAAGACATGTCAGCTAACGCAGCTATACTTGAATCACATTCTGGCCTTGTTAACCGATATGACCAGCACACAGCTGCATGAGCTAAACATACGCTCAGCGATACCTAATGAGGTGCAGCTTTTATTCGAGCAACAGCAGCAATTGCCCACATTGATGAGCTCCAGCTATTTGCCCGATCTGCCCGAGCAAACGCTGAAGCTAAGACTCAACAAAGCAAATCAATCCGTAATCGACATGGAAGGCGTCCTGCTGCCCATTTACAATGAGGAAAATCAAAAGTTCTATGCTGATTCAGATGGATGCTATGATCGCATCGTTAAAGTGGATTCAACAAGTGTAAATCTACGTAGCATTGCTCTAGGCGTAGCTGCGGCAAAGCCCATTTGTCTCTCTGGTCCAGTTGGCTGTGGTAAGACCACCCTAATTGAATATCTCGCACGTAAAACGGGACGCATTTGCCCTAAACCAAAAGAAATTGAAATCAGCAAACGAGCTCAAGAAGAGGAGGAGCTACTGATACCCAAAAGAAAACAAAAGACAACAAAGAGTGCGGCTGGAAAGAGAAAAGTCGAAGAAGATGTAGAAGAACTAATGGTGCTTGAGGATGGCGATGGACTGGCTCAGCGAAATGGTTTCTTACGCATACAGCTTGGTGATCAGACGGATAGTAAAATGCTGCTGGGCCAATATCGTTGTACAGATGTGCCAGGTGAATTTGTTTGGCTGCCGGGTGTATTGACACAGGTAAGAAATGAGACTATACTTGAATGTATAGCTGTATATTAATAAATCTAAATTTTAAACAGGCTGTCATGCATGGTTACTGGCTGCTCTTGGAGGATTTAGATGCAGCTACACAGGACACATATACGATATTGAGCAGCCTCTTAGAGCGCAATTACCTGAGTGTACCTGGTTTTAGAGATTGCGTCAAGGTTGAGCCAGGGTTTCAATTGTTTGTAACAGTGCGGTAAGCGAAGCTACGGCTAATATCGTAAATATATATAAATTTTCTATTTTTATCGCAGCACCAACAAATCATCCAACAATTCCAGTCAAAAATCTCTATTATCTCTGCTAGAGAAATATCTATACACCATAAATATTTTACCACTCTCGCGCAACGAGCTATGCAAAGTGGTTAGCACTAATTATCCTAAACTGGCAACGGTAGCGAATCGCATTGTGGATGTCTTCTTGACCTTCTCCAGTGGAGATCATACAGCTGCTGATAATTTGCGCCAGCAAGAGACCACAGATAAGGCAGATACCACAGAAAAGTATCTGGCGTTGCCATTTGAGCATGTCCAACTCTCGAACATGCCCAACTCCGGACGCTTGGTATCCACGCGGGATCTCATCAAGCTCTGTCAGCGTTCTAATGCTCAGTTTTCGGTGACAAGCTCTGAATGCGCTTACTTTGTCTTCCGCAATGCTATCGATGTCTTTTGCGCTTATCTGCCGGAGAGCAAAGAGAAGACAGCTCTTATAACAAGCGTTGGCGCTAAGTTGGGCATCATTAGATCGAGATGTGAACATTTTGCTAATGAATACAAACCCGACGTGGAATTCGGCAAGCAGACTTTTAAAATTGGACGCGCTATATTACCAACAATGAACGTGGAAGAGGAGCAAAGTGAAACACAAAATGGAACTAAAAGACAAAAGCTAACAATGGAAAGCAAGAAGACAATATTCAAGCCAGCTGCAAAACGTGCAACATTTTCGTTTACACGCTTGGCCAGTTGTATATTGGAACGCATTGCAGTCTGTGTGAATCAGTCAGAGCCCGTGCTCCTGGTGGGCGAGACGGGTGTGGGCAAGACATCCTCTGTGCAGTATCTGGCAGAGCGCACCGACCATAAGCTCGTGGCTATAAATATGAATAACCAGTCGGATGTATCGGATCTAGTGGGTGGCTTCAAACCCGTCGAGCTGAACTATGTGCTCGCCCCGCTGCGCTACGAGTTTGAATATCTGTTTGGAGAGACCTTCAATGCAGATAAAAATCAGCAGTTTATGCGCATCTTCGCCACACACTTTAACAACGGACGTTACAGTGTGATCATACGAACTATGTTGAGCGTCACGAACAACATGTTCAGTAAGCCGCAGCATAAGTCGAATCCTTTCCTGCCACGTTGGCAGACGTTGCACGAGAAGCTGCAGCGCTTGCAACTGCAGCTGGACAAGAGCATAAATATATCGTTTGCCTTTATACCTGGCTCCTTGGTCAATAGCATCAGCAATGGTGATTGGGTGCTGTTGGATGAAATCAATTTGGCATCGGCAGAGACACTCGAATGCCTGTCCACCATCCTGGAGCCGGAGGGCTCGGTTGTGCTGCTGGAGCGTGGCGATTTTATGCCTGTTAAGCGACATCCGGACTTTCGTATATTTGCCTGCATGAATCCCAATACGGATATTGGTAAAAAGGATTTGCCTGTGGGCATACGCAATCGCTTCACCGAATTCTTCGTCGATGAGCTGACCACAGATGCAGATTTGGGTCTGCTCGTCGGGGACTATCTGGCCAATACGGGCATCCAACGCAAATCGGTGCATAACATTGTGCAGCTATACAAATCGCTGAGACGCCTTTCCGAGCTGCAGCTCAATGATGGACTTGGCAATCGTCCCGTCTACTCGCTGCGCACGCTCTGCCGTAGCTTGCGCATATGCGCACGGAATCTGTGTGGCTCGATTGAGCGTAATCTGTATGAGAGCTTCTGCCTGAGTTTTCTGACACAACTGGATCCGGAGTCACATCAAATGGTGTTGCTGCTCATACGTAATGCATTGCTGCAGAATCCAAAGGCTGTGCTCAATCAATCGCTGCCACAACTGGGTGAGAATTATCTGCAATTTGAAGGCTACTGGATACAGCGTGGTAGTCTGGAGCCACAGTCTTGCGAGCACTATATATTAACATCTAGCGTCAAGAAGAATCTGCAGGATCTGGCGCGTATCATATCCATTGGTAAGCTGCCCATTCTGCTGCAAGGACCCACCAGCGCGGGTAAGACGAGTCTCATAGACTATGTAGCCCGGAGGAGTGGCAATCGTTGCCTACGCATCAACAATCACGAGCACACGGATCTGCAGGAATACATTGGCACCTATGCAGCCGATGTTAACGGCAAGCTGAGCTTCCGGGAAGGAGTTCTGGTGCAAGCCATGCGACATGGCTATTGGATTATCTTGGATGAACTGAACTTGGCCTCAACGGACATTTTGGAGGCATTGAATCGGGTGCTCGATGACAACCGTGAGCTGTACATTGCAGAGACACAAACGCTGGTCAAGGCGCATCCCAATTTTATGCTCTTTGCCACACAGAATCCGCCGGGCCTATACGGTGGTCGTAAGACCTTGTCCCGTGCCTTCAAGAATCGCTTCATTGAACTGCACTTTGCGGACATACCCCGCTCGGAGCTGGAAATTATATTGGAGCAACGCTGCCTGATACCCGCTTCGTATGCTCGAAAGATGGTCCAGTGCATGACACAGCTGCAGCAGCACCGCAAGAATACCTCCAAGCAGGTGTTTACGCTGCGCGATCTCTTCCGCTGGGGAAATCGCTATACGCTGGCAGACAAGGCCCTGCAGCAGGATACGAAATATGATTGGAATCAACATCTGATAGAGGAGGGCTACCTGGTCTTATCCGCCAAGGTGCGCACCAGCGAGGAGCTGCAGCTAATTGAGCAGACTTTGTATGCTAATTTTAAGAAACGCATCGACTTGGAGCTGCTCTTCGACATTAATACACAGCGAGAGAGTTCCGCCGTTAGTCGAAAAATCTTGGAGGCCATTAAGAACTTTAAACAGCGAGGCGACATCGTCTGGACACGGAATATGACACGCATGGCAGTGCTGACGGCCAAGGCACTGCAGTTTGATGAGCCGGTGCTTCTAGTGGGTCCCACGGGCTGTGGCAAGACAACGGTCTGCCAACTCCTGGCGAGCATTGCTCAAAAGCGTCTGCGCATCCTCAATTGCCATATGCACACGGAGGGTGCGGACTTTCTGGGTGGCCTGCGACCTTGCCGTAGTCAAGATAATAGTTCTCAAAAGCTGTTCGAATGGGCCGACGGTCCGCTCATCTATGCCATGCAGGAGGGATCCTATTTCATGGCCGACGAAATATCGCTGGCAGAGGATTCAGTGCTGGAGAGGCTCAACTGCATATTGGAGCCGGAACGCAGCGTGTTGCTGGCTGAAAAGGGAGGAGTTGTAGAGGAGCAGCTGGTCACTCCCAATGACGATGGCGAGTGCAAAACCAATGAAGATTTTGTGGTGCAGGCCAAGGCGGGCTTTCAGTTTCTGGCCACCATGAATCCAGGCGGAGATTTTGGCAAGAAGGAACTCTCACCTGCTTTGCGCAATCGCTTCACGGAAATCTGGTGTCTGCCCTCGGACAACAAAGAAGATCTCATTGAGATTGCCCATAATTGCATGCAGCGTGGCTCGACGGCCAGCTCCCTAAAGGATACCCATAAAATAGCGGAATACCTAGTGGAAATTGTACTCTATATACGCGACTCCAACGAGAAGTTCAAGTTCTCGGTGCGCGATATACTCGCCTGGGCGAGCTACATGGTCAGCAATGCGCATTTGTCATTCGCGGAGCAGGCAATCTTTGGACTGGAGACAATCTTTCTGGATGCCCTGGAGATGTTGCCGCACGAATCGCAGGCACAAATTGAAGAGCTAAAGTCGAAGATCACCGCATATGCTATAGAGCAAGCAAAGATCATACTCTCAGAGAAATTTGATCGCGCTCAGTTGGCTGAGAAACGAGGCCAGGAGGTGCAGCTGGACGAGCAGCTCTTTGGCATACGCCCCTTTTATATAGCTGTCAATCCGAAGCGCCTGATGCCCGCCGACTCGAATTTCCTGTTCGATGCGCCCACAACCAAGAAAAACCTATTTCGATTACTCTCGGCTCTCTCCCTGCAAAAGCCTGTGCTGCTGGAAGGCCCACCTGGAGTTGGCAAAACCTCCATTGTGGAGAGCATCGCGCATGCCATCGGCTATGATATAGTGCGCATTAATCTGTGCGAGCACACAGACCTGGCTGATCTCTTTGGCACCGATCTGCCAGCTGAGGATAATCTGCTGGAGCGCGTCGAGGCCCAGAATCAATTGGGCAGCTTTATATGGCGCGATGGTCCATTGCTGGCTGCTTTGAAAGCGCCCAATACATGGATCTTGCTGGATGAGTTGAACTTGGCGCCGCAGTCTGTACTGGAGGGTCTCAATGCAGTGCTGGATCATCGTGGCGAGGTCTACATACCGGAACTGAACAAGAGTTTCCAGCTGACGAGCAGCACGCGTATTTTCGCCTGCCAGAATCCACTGAAACAGGGAGGCGGACGCAAGGGATTGCCGCAATCGTTCCTAAATCGTTTCAACAAGGTTTATCTGAGAAAGTTGACTACGGAGGATCTGCTGCATGTGGTCAATAGGAAGTATGCCAAATACTTTGATGAACTCAGGACATACTTTGAGGGACTTCTGCAGCAGGAACAGCTGCCCAGAGGCAATCTCTTCGAGCTGAACAAGGAGCAGGAAGTTGCTGAAGTGGAGTTCGATTTGGCTGCACGCTTGGTGCGCTTCTCCGAGCAGCTGGACCGCGGCGTTGCCTCCATGGAGTTTGGCTACAAGGGCGGCCCCTTCGAGTTCAATTTGCGTGATATATTGCGCTGGTGTGACCTCTTGCACAATCCGGAGACAGGCTATCTAATGCGGACTGAAGAAAGCAGCTTCCAGGTGACCTTTGAGCAGTTTCTGCTCACGCTCTACGAGCGCATGCAACTGGTTTACTATCAGCGCATGCGTTGCGATCAGGACAAGCTCTACATACGCAATGCCTTCGCCAGTGTCTTCAATTGCAATGCAGAGCAGCTGAATGGCATTGCTGAGGATGTGGCCATCTACTGGACAGCGGATAAGGTATACCTCAATGATGTGGTGCTGCAGCGCTCGCAGCTGCCTCTAGGAGGTGGCACAGTGCAACAGCGCCAGGAGCAGGCGCCATTGCTGCTGGGCACACAGCGACAGCTGCTGAAGCAAATTGTCGAAACGGTGCATATGGAGAAGCCTCTACTGTTATGCGGTGCCACGGACAGTGGCAAGACGAAGCTAATTGATGCTCTGTGCGTGCTGTCCAACAACGTTTGCAACTCGGATAACATTGATGATTCTGTGACGGGCAGTTTTCAGCAGGTGAGATTCTGGCTGGTAACTTTAATTGATCTAATTAATATATTTTTCATTCTCCCTTCAGATCGATCTAAATCGTCATTTGGAGGAAATATACAAGGCTGTGCAGGGCTTGCTCTTTGTGGCAGCTCAAACGGCTTTTATGAAGCAGACGGAATATGCTTTTGTGCAGCAGTTATGGGCCGCTTGGAGCAAGTACAATCAGCTCTTGAAATTGAGCACAGGTGAGCGACACTAAACTGTAATCCTAGTCAAGTCTGTTGCTAAAGGAAACTTCTTGCAGAAACTGCCCAACACAGCGTTGCTGAGGAGCTGCAGCTATTCGAGCGTCGTTTGTCTGCCCTGGAACGAATCATTCTTAAGTTATCCGAAACGCCACCAGAATGTCGCGATCCACTCTTCGATCAATTGCCGCAGTACAAGACGCGATTGTCTCTGCTGCAAGCCTACATCAAATCCGCTGATTCACTTAATACGGGCGGCTCCTTTGAATGGGTGGATTCGCGCATTGTTACATCCTTGAAGTGTGGGCAGTACATCTTGTTGGAGCATGTGAATTTGTGCTCTTCTGCCGTGCTGGATCGCCTGAATCCCGTGTTTGAGCCGAATGGCAGTCTACTGATTGCAGAGAAGGGCATTAGCGCACACACTAGCGCCGAGGTGGTTCACAAAGCTCCAAACTTTCGCGCTTTTCTCACAGTCGATCCCAAGAACGGAGAACTGTCACGTGCCATGCGTAACCGTTGTGTGGAGCTGTCATTGAGCGTTTCAAAGGACGCCTACAGCGTAGATGATATGCGTGCCATTGTCCATGGCCAGGGCGTGCGGCACATAGACGCTATTGACTGCATGCTCAGCATACATCGTGGCATAGTTCAACTCACGGAATTTAACTCATACACCATCTCACATCTCACTCAGTTCGCCTTCCTGAGTGCCGCCTACAAAAGGATTGGATATCAGCTGAAGCGGGCCATTTACGTGGCTGCCATGGAGGTTTATGTGTACGCAGCCAGCACGGATCTAATGGGCTATGGCCTGTCCTACTATCAGAACAAGCTGCGCGACGTGGTGCTAACTCACATAGAGAAGTTTGAGGAGAGTGAGGTGCAGCAGGTGGATTATCTGAATGATGTTATATTGCGTACAGATGAGCTGAATGAACTGACGCTTATAAAACTGCAAGCAGCTGCCTTGAAGGTGCTACTGGAGACGTCCACTGAAGATGAGCAGCTGCCCAAGGAGCAACTCAGATCACTATTTCAGCCCATGGAAGCGCTTGATCTAGGTCAGCTGAATCTGCAGCAGTTCAGGCGTTACTTCCTACACATGCTATATGAAGTGAGTGCGTTTGATGAACTGGAATTGCGACATCTTTATCTGCAGCAGTGTCTGAAGGCTGATGCGGGATTGCAACAGATCTCGACAAGCCTATATGAATGCCTGCTGCAGCAGGGCAAGCATTTCCGCAAGAATCTACCTCAACTGCCTTGGCATCGGAAACTCTTTCCACGCCTGCGTGACTATGCAACGCAGCGGGAGGCAAAAGGTGCTGGCCCAGACGCCGCCTTGGCACTCAGTGCTGCTCTGTTATCCCAGCAGCTGATGGATAAGATACCGAAGAGAGCTCTGGGCAAGATCCAGCACTTGGATGCGCTGCAATATTCGCAAGCCTTGATGGAGAAGAAGATCACTGATAAGTTTAGCAACGATTTTCTAAGCCAACTCGCCGTCTTCCTCAACAATCTGCAGCTGGTGCTGCAGCAGCACTTGAGCTTTGCTCGCTTTGAGTTGCCTCAATATGCTCAATTCTTGACTAAGCTGAAATGGTTTAATCGCTTGCTGACCACAGCTCAGCAGAAGCTGCTGCATAATAACGAGCTGCATGCGCCGCTAATGCACAAACTTGTGCTGCACTTCAATTGGCTGCAGAAGCATCTGATAGTCGCTTTAGTTGAGGCCTGGCCCGAGCTGTTTGACGAGTATGAAGAGCTGCGCGAGAGTCTGCATCAGATGTACTTCTATGTGGAGCAGACCAAGCGGCCAATGAATGTGATCTGCAAGATTTATGCCAAGCAATTTACACAATTTCAGCCTTACTATCTGGAACAACAGGTGAGTGTGTTCAATATTTTATATAAATATATGTATCAATGTTTTCTTACAGATCACACTGCACGAGCAACTGGCGCAGCTGCAGCAGCTGTTGAATGTGGTGCCACAGTATGGCAATATGGATAGCAAACTGTGGCTGCACAAGTGGCTGGCTCTCCACTCAGATGAGGCACACAAATGGCGTGCTTTTATGAGAAGAAACATGCCTAGCTGTCAGCTGAAGCAGTTCGAGCTGACAGACAACTGCAAGGGAAAGCTGCAGGAGGCGCTGCTCAAACTGCAAGTGCAGCTCAAAGAGCAACAACTGCAGGCATTAACAGAAGATCAACTCAAACTGGACATAGATATAGCAGAAATTAGGCAACAAGTCAGTGCTAGCCAGGATGAGGCGAGTGATGAGCATGTAGTTGACCTGAAAACGAGCGAATTAAAGTCTTATCAACTGCTTCTGCCAGCCTTGCGAGATTACTTTATGGAACGTGCGCTGAGCCGTTCACTGCATACGGATTGTGATGAGGAAGTGAATCAGCTGTACAGCGAGCAGCTGCTTACGCTGAATGGACACCTCTGGCAGTGCTTGAATACATTGAGCAGTGAGACACATGCCAATGCAATGATTGCCTGGCAGGAGCTAAAACTTGTGCTGGAGGAGCAACAGAGTCCAGAGCAGTTTAAGGAACTACTGCAGCAGCAATTGGCTGGCAGCAGTTTCTACAAGGCGCTGCGCAGCTATCGGCGTGCATATCGACAAGCACTGCAATGCTATCAACTGGAGAATTTGGCCACGCGCTTCGATTGCGCCCAGTTGCCCAGCGAACCGGAGCTGATGTGCCGCTACAGCTATCAAGGAGCACCACTGACGAATGCCCTCTTGGCGCTGCTTTGCCAGTCGAATGGACAAATGCTCGCCGTGCCGCTCAGCGAGCTGCAGCCCTGGCGGCAGACATTGCAACAAACGCGACAGCTGCTCTGGCAGAATGGACAGCTCCTGGGAGGCCGGCACAGCCCAGAGCTCAACAATCTAGAGTTGGTGGCAGAGGGTGGCAAACAGCTGCTTAAGGAATTGGCATATGTGCAGCATCAGCAGCAACTGGAGTCGGGCTTTGAAAGCTGCGTACAGGAATTGAAGCATGTGCTGCAGGAGCTGGAATCAAAGGATGAGAAACTAGCATTAAACAACTCATTCCATGCAGCGCTGGGTAACACGCTCATAGGCGCTCTGGAGCTATGCGTGCTTACGCATGCACCGCTCATCGATCCCGTGGAGAAGAATCGCCTGAAGAATCTGTACGTTGCCGAGGACATCGATTGCCTGCAGCATCTGAGCGCTGGCTACGACTTCATGAAGATCATCATGAGGTACAAGCACTTTGGCCAACAGATCTACGAGCAGCTGCAGCAGCGACTGCAACAGCTTCAGCAGCAACAGCAACAGCTCAACCAGAAGTTGGCCCTGCGACCGGAGCAATGTCTGTATGCCAGCTTGGTGCAGGACTTAGTGCACTTCCTGAAATCCAATTGCGATAGTGTTGCCCTGCATAAGTTGGTATTTGCCATCAAGGAGAATTGGTCGCACTTTGTGGGTCCCCAGGCGGCTAATGATATGCAACTGCGTCGTGGCGCTGAGCTGTTGAGCAAACTGGATCTTTGGCTTGCTAATGCGCAGCGCTTTGTGCATCACACGCTGCTGCGCTATGATGCCTACTATCAGGACTTTGTGCAGCCCATCAAATGTGCTGTGAATCAGCTGCGCTTTGGGCTGGAGCAGCTGAAGCAGCTCTTCACTCGAGTGCTCTTGGCGGGCAGTGCTCCAGAGGCTCTCAAGCTGGAGCAGACGATCGCGCAGATGGTGGAGTTCCCAGCGCAACGACCGTTGGCCATCAGGAACAGTCATGTCTACGGACTCCTTGCCAAGCTGCCACACAGTGAGCACGAATACTTCCGCCTGCTCAAGGCCAAGCTGTGCGAGCTGCGCAACTTCGTCTCCATTGCTGCGAGCATTGATGAGACGATTTTCACTGCCTACGACGATGCCTTAAGCATTTGCAATCGCACCTGGCAGCAGGAGGAGCAGCGTCGCAAGGATCAACGTGCCGAGGAGGAGAGTCTATATAAGACTAAAACCTTGGGTGGCATAGAGGATGAGGAGCTTGTAGAGCTGCAGGAGATTGAACAAAATTTCCCCACCAACCTGGACGAAGACTATGCCGACTTTGTGGATCAGCCAACGCTCGAGCAGGTGCTGAAGTTGGATAAAAAGGCTAGCACGAAGGCGAAGCTTGCGCAAATAGTCAACGAACAGGATTACGTATTCCTCGCACGCAATTTCATCGATGTAATGAGTCGACACACAACTGTCAAGTACCAGGATCAGGAGCAGCAGCAACGGGAGCAGAAGCAGCTGCAACTCATAGAGCCTTACCAGGCGCGCCTCCAGGTCTTTGTGCAGCTGCACGGACACTATAAGACTGCGCTGGGCGCCACGCTCGATGGCAGCGTATATAATGCACTCTCGTTTGCGCTGGCGCTGCAGCAGAGGCACTTAAAGGACCTGGAACTGGAGGAGCCACACTCGTCGCCTGCTGCCTATGACTACTACAAGGACTCCAACATATCTGAGGTGAATGGCTGCCTCAGTGTCATGGAGCGCATAGAGCAGCGGGTGCTGGCACAGCTGGAGCTCTATCCGGAGCATGCGGGCCTGGCGGACATTAAGCTGGTCATCGCGCGCATCCGAAAGCTGCCCGCCAATGCGTCTGTGGTGCGCTTCAATACTGGCTTCCAGCTGCTGCGCCAGAAGCTGGCGCTGTGGAACGAGGTGGCCCATAAGAACAACAATCTGGTCCCCGAAGAGATCGAGGTGGCGGAGTTTGTGCAGCGCTGGACCAAGCTCGAGCTGCAGCATTGGCGCAATTGCCTCAATCAGACGGGACAGCAGGTGGAGCTGCAGGGCTATCGCTATTGGTTCTTCATCTACAATCTGCTGCAGACGGAAGTGGAGCTGCCAGAGCTCATACGAACGCTGCGCCAGTTCGTGGAGGCCGCTTGCTACGGAGACTTCCATGTGCGATTACAGCTCCTCCACGGCTTCGAGATGTACTTGCATAATTTGGAGCGTGTGGGCAAGCGGCAGAATCTGCAGCCGCTCATTGCTGCTCTGCACAATTTGCAGCTGTACTTTGACCAGTTTAGGCTGGAGGTGGCTGAGACGGTGAAGGCACGACGTGCCCCCATCGAAAAGAAGCTCAGGGAGTTTGTCAAGATACAGAGCTACAACAAGGATCTGAGCTACTTCAGCATGCGCAACAATGTGGCCAATGTGCATCGCAATCTGAACAAGTTCCTTAAGGAATATCGCCTGCTGCTCGAGCAGAAGATCAGCGAGGTGTTCCAGCCCAAGGATGCGACCGTCAAGGACTACAGCATGGATAAGAGCAAAGTGAGGAGCAAGACCACGCCCTATTTAGTGGATGTTCAGCACTTTGTAGCGCCAGTGCAGCTTCGCCAGAAGTATCAAGTAAAGGAGCTGGCAGCTGATGCCCTGCCCCTGCTTCAACAGCTGGGTAAACATTTTACCACTGCACGCAACATAGTCACACGGACGCTGAGCCAGGCCAGCTATGGCGCACTGCTGGAAGAACTAGATGAAGTGGTGGATCAGCAGCTGGAACGTTGCGAGCATCTGCGCAATCTCAATGTGGACCGCAGCAAGGAGCGACCACAGCAGAAGCTGCAAGCCAAGCAAATACTGCAGCAGAAACGCAAAGCTCTGATCGATCTCTTCAAGCTGCTCGCCCGAATGGGCTTGAGCTACAGAAGCGGACTAATGGAGCTCACGCTGCGCGGGGAGTTCGAGAACTTCCAGTTGCCGCCGTTCAGCATTAAGGCCATGTTGCCTCAGCTGCACGGCAGCTGGCGACAGCTCAATCAGCATCTGGATCTGTACTACATGAAGAGCGTATTCAAGCTGAAGCTGCTGCAGAATATTATGTTGACGCCTCTGTCGGAGCTGGGCCCGCCCAATATTGAACGCATCAAAGGCTTTGCAGTGGATCTCTTCCTGCACGTGCAGCAGCAGCGCGAGCAGCTGTCGAGTTCCACCAATCAGCTACACCAGCTGCGAAACGCATTGCAGCAATTGCAGCAGCTGGCGGAGATTGTGCTGCCCGTTGAGGTGGACATTGAGCAGCTGCGTTTCAGCCCCAAGGCGGATGAGTGTGTGCAGCTGAAGCATAAGCTCTGTCAAATACAATACGTACTCCAGCAGTGGCAGCTGCTCCTCCAGTGTGCGCCACTGCAGCCGCTCAGCGAGCATAGCGTGCTGCTCCACAGCAAGCCACTGCCTCAGTCCGAGTTGTTGGAGCTGTGCGGCTCAGCTCTGCGTGGCAGCCAGGTGCTGTTGCAGGAGCTGGAACATGCTCACACGGAGTTTTTGGATAGCCAAAAGCTACTTAGCTATCAGCGTAGCTACCAGAAGATTGTGGATAATATTAAACAGGCGGTGGAGCAGCTGGATGCGGGACACGAGGAGCATTTGCCGCTGGCACAGCCGCTGCAGGCACTGCTCAAGCAGCTGGAGAGCAGCTCAGCTGTATGCGAGGCCAAAGCAGAGCCTGTTGACCTAAACAATGTAGACGCGGAGCTAGCTAACATTGCACATGGCGTGTTGCTGGCACTCCAGAAGATCTACAAGGAGCACGGCCAGCAACCAAAGCAGGAGGAGGGCGAGCAGCAAGAGGCGCTCAAGGAGCAGCATCTAAAGCAGCACTTGACAGGCCAACTGATGACCAATTGGGAGCTGTTAGGTCTGCCTCGCACTCTGTCCAAGCTCTCGACTGTGTTGCTGGTGCTGAAGCACGCTAATCCCAGCCAGGAGAAGCTGGTGTGCTTGCGACGAGCTGTGTCCCTGCTGCCCATACTTCAGCAATATCAATTGCTGGCAGATTACATTCTACTGCAGCAGCTGGGCACCCACCGACTCTCGGCCAAGATGCTGTCCATAATGCTTACCGCCTTCGTGGAGATTGGCAGCAAAGGTTTCTGTGTGCCGCCAGACCTCATGCAGGACGAGGAGGGCCAGTCCAAACAGGACTCGAAGAACGGCGAGGGCTTTGGTCTGGAGGATGGTACAGGTGAGAATGATGCTTCGGATAAAATTGAATCTGAGGATCAGCTAGATGATGCCAAGCGGCCAGAGGATCGCAAGGACGAGGGCGATAAGGAGGAGCCCGACAACAAGGAAGAGAAGGGCATCGAAATGAGCGATGATTTCGATGCCAAAATGCAGGACGTGGAAAAGCCAGAGAACGAGGAGGATGACAGTGGCGAATCCGAGGATGAGGAGGAATTAAACAAGGAGATGGGCGAAACGGAAGAGGGCGCCGAAAAGCTGGACGACCAGATATGGGGCGATGACGAGGAAAAACAACCCGAGGAAGAGGAACCGGATTTGAATGAAGAGGATCACGGCAAAGGCAGCAAAGATGAGAAGGATGAGCACAATGATCTGGACGCTAAGAACGACGCAGCCAAGGAGGATGGCAAAGATGAGCACGAAAACGAGGGTCTGGATGCAACAAACGAGCCCAGTGGCGAGGATAAGCGCAAGGAGCAGGCCAAGGATATCGAAGATATGAAGGACCAAGAGCTCGATGAAGAGCAAACCAATGCCATGCACAATGAACTGGAAGAGCCACCAGAGCCAGAGGAAATGGATTTGGGTGATATGAACAACGTGGACGAAGGCCATGACAACGAGGCCGATGAGCCAAATGATGAGAATCCATTTGATATAGACACCATGAAGGAAAACATGCAGCCAGCCGATGAAGCTGAAGAGAATGAAACCGAGGAGGAGAAAAAAGAAGATGAGGACATGTCGGATGAATCAGATTCAGAAGCAGAGGAGAATGGTACGGAAAAAGAGCAAACACAAAAAGGCAAAGACGAGCCAGAAGAGGATCCAAATGCTGAAGAAGAGCAAGAGAACACCGAACCAGAGACACAAACACGTGGAGAATTGGATAGAGAAGAGGAACAGCCAGAGGAGAAACCCGCAGAGCCAGAGGCTCATGAAGAGAAACCAGAGGAGCACTCGCAATCCAAGGATAAATCAAGCAAGGAAGACAACGTGCAATCCGTGCCAGATACGGAGCAGAATAGCTCAGCCGATCAGGTGCAACAACAGCAGCAAGAAGATGATATCAAGCAGGATCAGAAAATGGACGAGCAGGAGACGGGTGAAGAGAAGGATGGCGTGGGTCAAGCTGAAAATGATGTAAGCGCTAAAATATTATAATAAACTTTATTCCCAAAATAAATTATTTTTCTTGCAGACGAATGATGGTGGTCATCAGGGCATAGCTGAGACAAAGGAAACCGTTTCCCAGGAAGAGCGCAAGAATGAGAAGCAAACCCAGGAGAAGCGCAAGCAAGGACGTACGAATGAGGAACGATCTCTAGGTAAGCTAATCATAAATTACTCTCCCAGTTTAAAAAGCAGCTAACTTACATATTCCTTTCCCCAGGTGAAGCTGAGCAAAACAAATTGAAGCAGCTGAAAACTATTGACCAAATGAAGGAGTCCAAACAGAATGAAAGCGAAAAGCAAGAACAAATGGATGAAAATGTTGAAGCGGAGGAGTATCAGCATGTCAAGGAGCCAAAGAACAGCGATAAAACTACTTTGGATAATGCCACAGAGGAGCAATCGAAACAAATCAAGCATCAAGAAGATGAAGAGCTCAAAGACGAAGCAGATGCCGAAAACGCAGATGAGCTGATGGCAGATGAGGATGTGCCAGCAGAGCAAGAGCAGGATGACACACAACTGGAGCAGCTGAGCTCCGAAAAAACCGATCAGAAATCAGACAAGCCTTCTAAGACGGAGCAGGCAAAGGAACGAGTGGAAGAGCCACAGCAGATGGAAATAGAGGGCGAAGTCGTAGCCACAATGACTGTGCCGCGCAGCACTGAGACCACTGCGCATAGCAAGTAATGCCATTAAGAATACTCTTTGAAATTCATATATTAATAATATATAATTTATTTACAGCACGGAGCTATTGCTCGAGAAGAGCTTGCAGGCCCAGGAGCTAAGTACAGCAGAGCAAATTGAGCTCAGGCAAATGTATCAACAACAGCTAACTAGCACGAATCCCGTAAGTAATATACATAGTCTCATATGATCAATTGTCTAACCAGCTTTCTTTTTGACACACAGAATCTGCCACAGCATGAGGATTATGAGAGCTGGTCGAGCATCTCCAATCGCATGACGCAAAATGCTCGCGAGCTGTGCGAACAGTTGCGTCTCATCTTGGAGCCGACAAAGTGCACCCGTCTCAAGGGTGACTATCGCACGGGTCGACGCATCAACATGAAAAAGATTATACCATATATAGCCTCGCAATTCCGTAAAGACAAAATCTGGTTGCGCCGCACAAAACCCGCCCAGCGCGATTACAAGATAACTATAGCCATTGACGATTCCAAGTCGATGCATCATAACAATTCCAAAATATTGACCCTGGAGGCTATCTCGTTGGTGTCGCAGGCTTTGACGCTGCTCGAAAGCGGTCGCCTGAGCATTGTATCCTTTGGCGAAGCGCCAAAAATTATCCTGAACCACACGGAACAGTTTGATGGACCGCGTTTGGTTAGTGCTCTCAACTTCGATCAGGATAAAACGAAAATTGCGGGTTTGCTCGACTTTATACGCACTGTAAATATGGAAGAGAGCGGCTTGGGAGGCGATAATGGTCTCTTCGAGAATCTGCTGCTGGTGTTGAGCGATGGGCGAAATATTTTCAGTGAGGGCAATCAGAAAGTAAAGAATGCCATCAAACTAGCTAGGCTGCAGCGCATATTCCTCGTATACATCATTATCGATAACCCTGACAATAAGGTAAGCAGTTGAATATGTATAAAATCCGCCAAGAGATTTAATTCAAATTCTTTATTTTTACAGAATTCAATACTGGACATTCAACACGTTGAGGTCAATGCCGATGGCTCGGTGAAAATCAATTCATATTTGGATAGTTTTCCCTTTCCATATTATGTTATTGTCCGGGACCTTAATCAATTGCCTCTAGTACTCAGTGAAGCTATGAGACAATGGTTCGAATTAGTCAATAGTGAATAGACGGTCATTACTTTGTATATAGTAGATAGAAACGATATATAATTACTTATTCCTTTTTTTTAATAATTGGATACTTTATAATATAATAAATATTAAGTTTTTGTATTTTCTATAAATTCTTAGAAAGAAATAAATCAGATTGAATTGACAAAATGAAAATGACCTTTTCATAGCATATTTGATTGATATTGACTGTTAATGAACAGTATTATGTTAGTATAATGCTAAAAACCGTTATTATTTTAAAAAAAAATCGGTTAGTTAACACGATCGTGTCAACTCAATGTTAAAGAACAGGAGTCTGTTAACTAACAGCACGGTAAATGTTAACAAAAATCATTCTGTTAAGTAACTATTTACTACCTGCTAGTCATTTATGTTCGCCTGGTATTTCAATGGCATTTCAATCGAAAATTGGTGGCTCTCGTTGTGCTAGATATTTTCTTTCCAGCCCCAAAAGTATGCTGTCTTGACTGTGATTTACAAATTTAAGGATTTTTTTTCGCTGCTTTAAATAAGGGCCCAAAAATATGCTATGAAATTAATAGTTTTTGCGAGTCCTTTCCGATGATAAATAAAACTCCTTTTTATACATTTTTAAAATGTTTTATTCAATAAATAAATAATCGTCCTTATAGGAAAATAGTTCACGCATGCAGCTCTTGATAAAAAAAAGACTTGCCATAAGGATAGGAATATATCGCGTAGACTAATATTATCTTATAGTAGGTCCTGAGATACAAATAATTTTTGCATATATATGTATATCAAAAATTTAATAAATGAATGCATACAAATTTATAAACAAAAAAAACGCGTTTATTTTTTGAGAGGAGATTTAAAAATGTTGCCGTGGAAGGCAAATTTTGAGTGAAATGCTGCTCGAATACCAGGCGAACAGAAATGAGCAGCAAGCTGCTTAAGTAAAATAAATCAAATATTTTCTTGCAGCCCCAAAAGTATGCAATGCTTCTACAAAATGTAAATTTTTTCTTTTAGAAGCCATGCCCAAAAGTATGCCCCGCTTATAGACAATTTGCAATCAAAATCTTGCTGGCATAAGGTGTTTTTTTGAAAATATATTTGCGTATTTGGTTTTTATTTACACTTGATTTTGGAATTGTGGCATTTGGCTAATGCAATACCACTTGCAAATCAAAAGGATATTCCCTGGAGTTTAGGCTTTGTCTAAACAGCTGAGTATGCTGCCAAGCCACGTCCCCTTTGCCACCGCTTAGCTTGGCAACAATTTGGAATTCTGTGGCGTTCTCAATGCATCTGTTGCCATCGCTCGTCTCCACGCTCACATCAATTTTGCCGTCTCCAAAGGTTTTCGTTTCGAATGTGAGCTTATAGGATTTGACTCGAAGATTAGATTTGCTCAAATTGAATTTCCAAATGATTTCAGCGCTGTCCGTGTCCTCTGTAAGCAATTATGTAAATAAATTATTAATTAAAATTTAATAAATTATAATGAAAAATGTTAATAGAGCTTACCTAGTCTGGCCAAATAGGCCATTTTCCAATCTCTCTCGACCTTGCGAAAAATGTTCTTCGATGCAAATTGCGCACTTTGCCAAGTCTTGTAGGTTTCGAGTATATTGAAATGTTCGCCATCTAGAAATCAAGGAAAGTAATCGGTCATGAGCATAATTGATAAGATTTCTCTATGCACTAAGCACTCTATCAAACCTTTCGTATATCTTTCGTACGTATCGCTGGCGCAATTGTAGCGCAAATTGAATTGTCGCAGTTCCCGCTCGCTGTCATTTGGCGTAAATACAAAAATCTGCAATAGAATAATGCATGAGAGATCGTGTGTGTGCATATTATATAGAGGACAAAGGCAATTAATGATCAGCTCTAATGACTCACATCTGTGAATGTGTGCTCCCCACGCGACTGGCGCCACGACAAGCTGCCCGAACTTCTGCCTTTGAGCTCGCTTTCGGTAGGAGTGCTGCGTAGTTTATATGAAAAAATGTAGAGATCAGCTTTAATTACAACAATAACAATTTGCAATGCTGCAGTCGAGAGCTACCGACTGCATAATGCTCGTTAGGTTTACAAAATTGGAAACGTTGATAGAGGTCATATAGCTTTTGCATATTTTACAAGAATATATATCTGTAGAATTGCTCAATGAACAGCCTGCAATGCAGAACCTGATATTGCATAAAACCTATATACTCCATTTCACCAGGTGAACGAGTAGACAAAACAATACAAAACAACAAGAACAATCAATGAATATTTTTGTAATACATACCGTTCCACGGTCATTTCAATGACCTCGCACAGGTTGCGTTGACTGAGGAATTTTTTGCGTTCTTCGCTCGCGAACTGCTGCCGTTTGGCCCGAATCACATTCAGTGCAGCGATGAGCTCCTTCTCCGAGCACAGCTTGCGCTGCTTTAATATTTGCTGGTGATTGTTCGTATATCGCCAAGTTACATCCTGTGCATCATCGCGCGAATAGCCAAAGATGTAGTCAATATTGCGCTTCCAGCCGTGCTGGTACATAAGTGGCGAGTCGACCACATTGTCGGAGGGATCGACATGCAGCCAGCGCATTTGCTTCTCCGAAAACACTTCGGTCCACACATGATCGAAATGGGAATGCACTAAGCGGGCATCGTAGTCCAGACTTCTGCAAAGGAATGTAAAGCAATTGGCAAACTCGCCACAGCGCCCCTTGCGCGACACCAATAACTGGGAGATGTCATTGTAGCGATAGAACTTGGTCTCTTGGCCACAGCAAACTGTGACCTCGACCCGCACATCGCCCTCGGTTTGGGTGCGACGTAGTTTGCCATCCTCACTGCCGCACACTTGGCATGGTATGTTGTTGACCCACTCGAAGAACTCCGTATTGAACCAATTGACCAGCTCAACGAGCAGCAGATCGCGTATGCAGGGTTCCTTCTCTTTACATTTTCCAGCCGCAATTAGTTCCTGCATTTCAATTAATTTGCTGCTGGCATTCATTGTTAGCTCATCGATGGGTATCAGACTTCGTCCGCTGGCCAGCAACGCCTCATCCTCATACTGCATAACGGCATCGCTGTAGAGCTCCAAAGACTGCAGGAACCGATTAGGAGTGCGCTGCAAATAGAAATTCAATTTATTCTATTCAATGAAATTGTTCTTCTCTACTCACTAGCATGCGCGGAAAGGTAATACGTTGTCTGTAGGGCACTGAAGGTTGTATAAACAAAGGCGTAGCACACGTAGCTGGCATTTCTCTTGTAGTCGTCGCCTGGACTGGCTCTAAAGTAAATAAATTCAATTTCAATTAACAGTTAACAGTTAACTTGGTTATATTACAGCTACTTACGCTTTGCACCATTCAGCCACGCCTCTCGCCTTTTGCTTAGCACGTCTCTGTACTTTTGTATTTGCTGTAACGGTACCTCAGTAGGCAATGTATATTCATTGGAGCTTGGCAAGCGTTTGAAACCAATTGCGTTCAGCAATCGCTCACTGCCCTCCACCGAAAGCAGCTTTTCCTTGATCGCCTTGTTCTCCACACGAATGGTGCGATACTTCAGGTTATTTGGCTGACTTAGCACATTCTCGAGCAGCACGAGCAATATTCGCACTGCCTCTAAATATTGCTCTTGCTGTTTCTCCGTCGATTTCGCCGGCTGGGGCTCGATCAATTGCACGCACTCCAAATTAATGTCAACCATGTTAAAGTGCGCGGCGCTATAAAAATAAGTCGCAAAGCCGCTATCGTGGGTGTCGTTGGGTGGGTGGGTGATTGTCTAGCTGCTAGATTAGAGATGAGCGATGTTTATCACAATATATACTTATCGAATGGAATAGCTTATTGACTAAATTAATTGATTAAATTGCGTATTTATTGCACTTAAAACACAACAAAAGAGAAAGGAACAAAGGCTTAGCGGCTTAAGCAGCTGTTGACAAATTGCACCATTTGCCTATCGATAGGTGGAGTATTTTTTAGTAATTTTTTGTTTTGGTATTATTAGATATGTTTTTTGTAAGAGTGGCAGCGCCAGAGGCTCGGCGAAATTCAACCACTTTTGAAAAAGTAGGCGTCGTTTCAATTGTGAAGCGTCAGTCATTGTGCAAAGTTTGCGCAGCGGTTAATTCAGAGTAACTGAAAACAAAAAACTTCATTCGTCTCTTATATTTCCTTAAAAGGTAATAAAATTCAGTCTTCCTTTGTTCACCTCGTGTGCCTTTGACTCTCTGTCTCAGGCTCAAACTCTCGAGCGGCTTTCGTTTTGAAGCAGTGTGTACATACAATTTCATTTGAATAGTCTATTTTTTTTTCTCATATTCAATTTTAGCAAGTTAAACTACAATCCATATAGCAAAAATGTGTGACGAAGAGGTTGCCGCTTTGGTTGTCGATAACGGTTCCGGCATGTGCAAAGCCGGCTTTGCCGGTGATGACGCACCACGCGCCGTTTTCCCATCTATCGTCGGACGTCCCCGCCACCAGGGCGTTATGGTTGGTATGGGCCAGAAGGACTCGTATGTGGGCGATGAAGCACAGTCGAAGCGTGGCATTCTCACCCTGAAATATCCCATTGAACACGGTATTGTGACCAACTGGGATGACATGGAAAAGATCTGGCATCACACCTTCTACAATGAGTTGCGTGTGGCACCCGAGGAGCATCCAGTGCTCCTAACTGAGGCACCCTTGAATCCCAAGGCCAATCGCGAGAAGATGACGCAAATCATGTTCGAGACATTCAATACTCCGGCCATGTATGTGGCCATCCAAGCTGTATTGTCCCTATACGCCTCTGGTCGTACCACTGGCATCGTCTTGGATTCTGGTGACGGTGTCACCCACACTGTGCCCATCTATGAGGGTTATGCACTGCCACATGCCATTCTTCGTCTGGACTTGGCTGGTCGCGATTTGACCGACTATCTCATGAAGATCCTGACCGAGCGTGGCTATTCCTTCACCACCACTGCCGAGCGTGAAATTGTGCGCGACATCAAGGAGAAGCTTTGTTATGTTGCTCTGGACTTTGAGCAAGAGATGGCAACAGCTGCCTCCAGCTCCTCGCTGGAGAAATCCTATGAGCTGCCTGACGGACAGGTCATCACAATTGGCAATGAGCGTTTCCGTTGCCCCGAATCTCTGTTCCAGCCGTCGTTCCTGGGCATGGAGGCGTGTGGCATTCATGAGACCACCTACAACTCGATCATGAAGTGCGATGTCGATATCCGTAAGGATCTGTATGCCAACACTGTGTTGTCCGGCGGTACCACCATGTACCCTGGCATCGCCGATCGTATGCAAAAGGAGATTACAGCACTGGCCCCATCCACCATGAAGATTAAGATTGTGGCACCACCAGAGCGTAAATATTCCGTCTGGATTGGTGGCTCCATTCTGGCCTCGCTGTCCACATTCCAACAGATGTGGATTTCCAAGCAGGAGTACGATGAGTCTGGCCCATCCATTGTGCACCGCAAATGCTTCTAAGTGACAAAAACAGAAACAGCAAAAACAACAACACCAAAAACATGCACAACAACTGCGGCTGTCTCTGGGCGTGGTCCTGTCTGTGGCAGCGTCTCACGCATACACTCCAAAAAAAGATATACATATATAAAATATTTTCCTATTCATTTCGTACTTAGGATAGATAAAACAAAGAAAAGTGAAGAAGAAGAAGATGCGGAGCTAAAGATATTTAACACAGGCAGGTCCATTGTCCAGCAACAGCAGCAGAGACAGCAACAAAGCTAAACTACCAACAATTTTTTTTATATATCTATAACAATTTTATACGAAGTCATGTACCACATAGATACACACACCTACACACACACAGACACACATCTACACCCACTCACACTCCTTTTACACATAAGTATTTAGCATATATTTTTGTGTTGGATCGAAATTCACGAGTTCATGCGCATATTGGTATTATTATAAAAAATATATAATATATATATTCATATTCGGCATTATACATTATCCAAGCATTCTTTACATATATTATTATATTATGTATTACACTTAACCAAAAAAAGACAAAAACAAAAACATGAAATCAAAACTAAAAAGTATTTGTAACCGCTACGAAAAAAACAAAAAAATAATAAAAAGCGATGAAGAACTGAATATGGTTAAAACAGACTTATTATTGATAGTAATTAAATGTATAGCTGGCTGTTTTTTCCCCTTTCCCTTGATGAACAAGCTGTTATGACTCAGAATCTTATGGATATGGAGATTTGTCAGCTCGCTCGATAAGCCGCTGCTTACTAATACATCCCCAAAAATATTTGATTTCTGCCTAAAGAAAACAAAGGCTTTGCTCATTTTTTCGCAGGAAGTGTTTGATAAGCAAAATTATATTTATGAAAATTTCTATATGTATTTAGTTAGGAGTATTTCTTATTATATTAGCTGTTGTGGCAAATGCGGGTAATGAATCGGCGCGGCTTATCAGCGTGACGGACCAAGCCAAGAATTGCCCGTGTCTCGCGCCGATTGATTACACAGCAAAACAGCTGTAGCAGCACCGCGCCGTTTACCTTATAAGGCAACAAAACAGTCTATCGCAATCTGTGTGTACATTAGTGCATGTCTCATGTGCTTTTCACTGGCAATAGTTATGCCCGAATTAATCAACAGCAACAAAACAATTGACTGAGTCAGCGGGCAAACATTGGAAATCGGCATCAGCAACGGAATCGTCATCAATTCGCATTGTGTGTGAGTGTATTTGTGTGTTTGGCTGCTTGACCACTTACGGCTACACGATGCCAGGGCTGCAGACGGGGTAAAGAGAGTGCGAGAGTCGGCTATGGTAGCAGACGACAAATAGATAGAAGGAGAAGAGCAGAGAGAGAGCGAGAGGAGCAAACATGTATAGTAAAAGACTAAAGACACAATGGCAGAACAGCAAGTGCAGAGAGGAAGTGTGGAAGGTGGGTAAATGAAGTAAATGAACTAAATCACACACACACCCACACACACAAAGTCAATGCAGCAACAGCGGGGCGAGAGTAAGAGTGAGAGGCTATAGTAACAGAATGAAATCACAGAGTAGTCAGGGTGTTAGAAGGGACCGGAGACATTCAGCAGGTGTGGCCGAGTGCGGTGGGGCGAGGAGCACAGAGTAGACGACATTTTAGGCAGGGCTTTGAATGCGTTTTTTGTTTTGGTTCACAAACTCGCATTGACCAAAAACTCAATCAACTTTTTTTTTTTTTTTTTTTTTGGTAGTAAACAATCACACCCATATGTGGATTGATCAAAAGCTTTTGACTTTTTAGAGACACACATTTAGATATGCATACGTATATGACTGTATTGATCAAGGTTGTGAACCGATTAGGCTTAAACCCGGAATATTTTTATAGACTTTCAACTACGAACGAACTTCACTTATGGCTTCGGCTAAAATGAATGATATATATTATAAACTAATAAATTTATAAATTATAAACAACAATGAATATTACATATATGTATTTGTTAAAGAAACTAAACTTTACTGCTAATCAAATAAAAAATATTGATATATTTATATTTAAAGAATATTTAAGTCGTATTCTTGATGAAAATTTATTAGGCTTTCTTATTATTATTGTTATTTTGTTTTATATTATTAAGAAAAACTACTTATGTTATACGACAAATCAAGATTTATTCAATCTTTATTATTCATTAAATTTTCAAGTATATTTTAAATTTTTATACATTTTCATAGAGCTATAAAGGATTTACATATATATATATATACGTATATAATTTTTTTATAGAAATTATTTTTATTGCAATCGTTATACATATGTTTTCCATATAAATTTATATGTATATATTTGACACGCCCTCAGTTTTAGTTTATACGACAAGAGTTTTTAGTAATTACAAATGCAAATTATTCGAGTACAGAGAAATTTCTATAAATTAATAAAAGATAATTTTGTTTAATAATTTCCAGTTCCCCATATATATTTTCTTTTGATTACAGCTGCTTTGAAATGTGTGTGTGTGTTTTAAAAACATATGTTTTGTGCATTGGTAAATCAGTTGAATATATATTACTAGATAAGAACACATATATAAGTACTACGGTTAGCTTTATAAAATCAGCCTTTAATTCATGCTTTCTAGGATTAGATGTACGTAGATTAGAGTTTTTGAAATAAGTAAAATTGTTCTATTTATTGCACTTCTTTTCAAAACAAAATTCAAAGAAGCAAATGAAAAATAGAAACATGTAGATAGCAAATTTAATAAGAGTTCTTTAGTCGGTTGTGCCTGACTAGAAAATGTCCTGAACCCACCATAGCTTGACTTTTATATTTTCATATCAAATGGAAAAGGTATTCCAAATAGTAAATCTGAGTATCTCCATTTTCATGAAAGGAATCTTCACTTCTGATAAGTGGTCTTTAGCATCAAAGCCCATTAAGTTTCGATTTTTATCGATAACAAACAAGTGAGAGGAAAAATAGAACAAGATCAACTTAGGCTACATTTCAAGACAAGAGATTTTTACGAATGGACATACGAGCAGATCTGATCACTCTGCGATTCTGCTTAATGGTGGACACCCAGGTCTTTTTTTGTCCCAAGCTCTTCTATACAATTTACTTTATGTTCAGGGTGCACTTACGCTTGAAATAATACTCACCAAAAAAATAATAAAAAGCATAAATAAATACACTGAAAATAAATTTTAACTAGCTTTGAACATTTCTGTCATATATGAAAATTTTGTTGCTTTTTTTTTTTTTATAAATTACGATAATAAATTTTATTTTGATGTTTTTGTTCACTAAATGTACATGGATTTGTGTATGTATGTGTGGGTGTTTGTATAATTTTAAATACATAATTTAATGGTTAAAAATTACAATTAAAATGTATAACATTAATAATATGGAGTTTACTTTATTGCATTATGTTTTGCGTATATTTTTCTTTTCTTCTAGCACTTGTTTATGTTTATGTTTTTGTTTTGTTTACGATAATACGATAAAGATAAAGCATATATATGTCGTTGATAATGTTGAGTGTGTGAATATATAAGGTAAGACACGTAATGTTTGTTTTTTATTTGTGTTTAACTAAAAGCATAAATATATAAGTATTTAAATATCTTTTATATAATGGCTATATAACTAAAAAGAGAAAATATGCATATACATGTATATATATATATATACGAAGATCCTATATATAAACTGTGACTTTATGCGTTTCGTATGTGTAAATTTATATATATGTATATATATTATGATACAGCGTTCAATAATAGCGCCTGATTGCAAAACAAATTAATATAAATCATATTGATATACACATGTGTGTTAATCCATATATATGCATATGTATACGATTCATGCATTAAGTGCAAACAAAGAAAACTGTTTTGTAATCAAAAATACAAATAATTAGATTTCACACATACGTATATATATATGAATATATATTCTTCAACTTAGCACACCGCAATGCTTCCTAAATACTAAAATTTGCCTGCCTTAAATGCTAATAACATGTATATTGATACCTAGACGTACACTCAGCTCCATGTTGAGAGCATGGGATTACTCTTGCTTTGCTTTGTTTATATTTTCTTTTCATTTCTTTTTTAATGCTCTAGAAAATCTGTGCAAAAGTTGAAATAAGTAACTAAATAAGAATTGTCCGTGTTGGTTAGCTTTATGCTTCGGTCTTATTGTTGCTGTTGATGTTGCTGCTGCTACTGTTGCTCTGGTCCGCTTGGCTGACTGCTGCTGGTCCGGGCGCTACCCTGTTGCAGCTGCCGCGTTTGCCAGCGGGCGCATAAAGCATTTATCAGTAAGCCTGCGCCTCCTTATAATCACTCTGATCGGATGTATAGAAATCCTCGAGCTTCCACTGCAGCGTTTCGAATGTGGGTCTACGCATCGGGTCCTTGTGCCAGCACTCCAACATTATCTCATACAGACGCTGCTCACAATTCGGTGGCATGGGCATGCGATAGCCATGCTCAACCTGGGTTAATACTTCAGCGTTGGTCATACCTGTTGGAAGATAGAGACTCTTAGAACTGTCTTTGGGGATATCTATAAACAGGGAAACCCACCTGGATAGGGTATACGTCCGTAGGTGACCAGCTCGGTGAGTAAAATGCCAAAGCTCCACACATCCGACTTAATGGAGAATTTACTGTAATTGGCCGCCTCTGGTGCTGTCCATTTGATGGGGAAGCGAGCACCGACGCGTGCCTCGTATTCATCCTCCTTGATGAGTCTGTAGATTGCATATAGAAAGAACATTAGATAATCTTTGCAAATGGTTATACATGATTATAGCTGTCACTTACCGTGCCAGACCAAAATCGGCTATCTTTACGATGTTGCCATCGCCGACGAGCACATTACGCGCTGCCAAATCTCTGTGTATATAGTTTTGTGATTCCAAATATGCCATGCCAGCGGCTATTTGGGCAGCCATATCGATGAGCGTTTGCATTTTGATACTACGACATTTGCCTGCAATTGCTAAAAGATATTAAAAACACATTCATCAGATATTAATAATGACACGATAATGAAGTTGAACCAATGAGCGAACCATGAACCATGAAATTAGAAATTAGCCAAGTTAATGTAAGTGTTATGTTATGTTGATTTGATTAGCATTAGCGTTTCGTTTGGCTTACCTTGCAGATACTCCAACAGGGAGCCGTGCTTCATCAGCTCGGTTATAATGTAGATGGGCTCCTCGACGGTGCAGACTGCATATAGCTGAATGAGCTTGGTGTGGCGCAGCTTCTTCATTATTTGTGCCTCAGCCAAAAAGTCCTTGGGATCCATAGTGCCTGGAAAATGGGATAAACAAATGATTAGTTAGTTTGTCTTCAAAACTCTCTATAACTAATGTCATATCATTTGTATTCCAACTTACCCGACTTAAGAGTTTTGATGGCCACGGGCGTGGTATTGTTCCACAGACCCTCCCAGACATCGCCAAACTGGCCGGAGCCCAATTTGCGTACGAATTTCAACGAAGTTCTATCGATTTCCCACTGATCGCGAGTTCGATGCGATAGACCCTCGGTGACAGGTTTCTCAATCTGTGTGGCAAAAACGAAAACAAATTAGTGCATGTCGTTTCGTAAATGGTTAAAGCAATTCAATTTGTAATATGGTGTGTGCTTTTAGGCTCGTTTTGTATGAAGGTGCCAATTGGAGAGAGCTGGTGGCTAAAGATTTAACAGCTGTGGCATACACTTAGGCATTATGTACAAATTTTCGTTAGACTAGAAGTAGAGCGGAGTTGGCTAACGTTGTAAGTAATTTGTTAATTTTTGTTGTTTGGTTTTTTGGGCTTTTAGTTTGTCTGGCCTTTTGGGTCAAAGTCAAAGTGCAACTAATCTGCGGCTAGTTAATGAAATTTACTATTGTTTTTAGCTAACTTTACCATTTATTTGGTTTTCGTTTTTTCTGAGTTCAAGCCAGCTGCTTAGTCATTTTTGAACATTGCAAATTTGAAAGTGCATTAGCTGAAATGTTTTGCATGCCCTTCGCAAAGTTTTTTCTTTGTATTTTTTTTTTTTTTTTTTTTTAGTTTTTCCTTTTCTGTTTCATGTTTGCATAAGTTGAACACGCGATTTGGCAGTTGCACCAAATACTATATATATATATATATATATATATATATATATATACACTACATGTAGCAATACTTAATTAAAAAGTAAAGCTTATAGTATATGGCATAGTATAGTTAGTTATATATATATATCAATCGATATTTATGAGTGGAATTTGCTAGAAATATTTGCAAGGCTAAGCTAAAAGCCATTTTTACAGCATTTGTAACTTTCAACTGGTTTTTGACTGACAAATAAATTAGCAAAAGTATGAAAATATAGCAAAGATAGCATATTCTTTACATAAATACAAGCTTATAAAGATAAACTGTATATAGGCTTTAAATTGAACATAAATCTGAGAGAGTCATAAGGTAGACAAGGCACAGGCTAGTCTACACTTTTGATAGCATCAAATTCGAGTCTGATTCTAGATTTAAAATTATTAACTGTTAATTGAACAAAAAATAGATTATATAGCATATTTCTTATATTATATAACATAATCATTATATCATAGATAGAATATAATATATACAATATTTATATAATTTTCTCGTTTATCTTCATCTACCGTCAGACTAAAATCCCATAATGACTGGCATAAATTTTAATATGAATTATTTTTTGGGGATTTTTATTTCCATTTTTCAACGCTTAATTGCACTTTGTACTCTGACTAAATTTATGAATTAAATGAAATGAATGGGTTGTTTATTTAGTATTATTTGTTTATGGATTTTTTTTGGTTTTGCATGATGCTGGCACACACACACACACACACACACACAATTAACGTTAATGTTTAGAGTTACAAAATCCTACCTCAAAAATACCCGAAAATGAATTTGTCTTTTATTTGTTTGTTAGTATTTATAAATAATTTTCGTTAGTATTTTTAAAGGAATACAAAAAACAAATATATAAAATCATTTTAAAATCGTTTTTCTTTTCTTGTTAAGTATACGTAAATAATGAGAGAAATCATAATTGAAAATGTTAAATGTAAAATGTTTAATATTGAGAAATGCCATGTTAAATGCGCGACAAGAACACGTTTAATGTTAAATGGCATATGGCATGTTAAGTGCATGTTAAATGCCAAAAACAATAATTAAATACCATGAATTAGTAGAAACTCATATAGTTAACGGTGCCTACCTGTACACAGGGCTTGCAGAGGTTGACGCACAGGCCATCCGAATCCTTGGAATAGTGCTCGACAAGCTCTTGTAGGGTTCTGTTATCGATAACGAAAAGAGTATATTAACACAATGTTATGTAAGTGTTAAAATGTGTATATATTTACCTGAATGTTGTGCGTCTGGCAATGAAGAAGCCGCCCTCATCCAATTGTCTGATGCGGTAATGCTTAACCGTATCGCCATCGCGCACTGCAAAAATATACAATACAATATTAGATACGATTCATGTATAAGCTTGCATTTCATATTCATTATTCATGATCAATAGATTGACATTTGGTACGCCATTTATAGCACCCACCTGATAGCGAATAGTCATTGTGACGGCTTTCGGAATCGCGTATTAAAAACGCGCCGTGCTCGTTCTCTGGCAGTAGCAATTTTTTCTCAGCCTCAATGCGTTTGATTTTGCGGAAGTACCAACTGCAATTACAATCAACAGAAATGGAAATTGTCGTTAGCGAAATATGTAAATGCATTAAAAAGTGAAGTTTTTTTTTATTTTTATTGTCATAAAATTGTGGTTTTTATTAAGGAAACTGCTAGATGCGAGGCTACAAATATAATAATAATAAAACATAAAACCTTTCAATCAGAAGGCACGTGCGTGGGTGTTGGCCCCCACACAGTCACACACACATACACGCATTCCGACATACTCACACAGTCATGCTCTCCTTACTCAGTTTACAGGCTTTACTCACTGCCTTTTCATACATATTCTACTGGCAGAAAGGCTACGTATATACTCGGCGAACATACTCACATACACTCTCTTCTCGTGATCTCCAATTATACTCACACCGTCTGCTAAAAGTCTCCACTCTTAATCTCCACATACATAATCTCTATCTCAACATAATTTTTCCACAGACACACTCTATACGTGCCCTCCTCACTCTATTCATATTCTCTACATGAACTCCCTTCTTGTTGTCTCTACATATATTCTCCACACAGACTCTACACAGAAACTCTCCACGCTTACAGGAGATAACTTGTCATTCACACTCCACACATATTATTCATTATACACTCGGTTCACACACTCTCCTCTCACTATACCCACTTACTCTCCACTAAAAAATATTCTCCACACCACACAGTCTCCAATTACATTGATCTCACACTACACACTCGTCTAAAATTCTCCATACATTCACCCTCTACATAGAGTTCACACACATCCACACACATTCCATTTCGCACGCTCTCACACTTTTCCATTTTAACAACTTTATCAACATTTTAATTTACGAACGTGTTTTTCGTTCTATTTATAAATATATTTTGTTGTTGTTTATATTTCGTCAGGCGAATTTCTAGTTATTTGCGCTTGTAATTAAATTATTATGCAATTATTTTTTAATCTAGAAACGTGCACAATTTGTTGGAATTATCCTGCTTTTCAATTATTTACCAATTTCTGTGTGTGCTATTGCGAATTGCAAATGTTTTGTAATATATGCACCAATTTTTCTCACTCTTCTTCTTGCTCTCTCTCACATTTTGTATTTTAGCGACAAATTTATTTTATTTATGCATTTTATGAGCGTTTTAAATTCAACTTTAATTGCGCTTCCGAATCGAAAATTGCGGAACTCGGCTTAAAGTTTTTTATATATATTCATTTGTTATTTTTCATGCTTTTGTTTTTGTTTTAAATATATATTTATGTGCGCTGCTGCATAGAGAGTTGCATGTTGTTTGTGTGTGTGTCATTATCTAGTTGAATTTATTTGAAAATTAAACTGGATAGCTTGAGTTTCATTGTAACTTGTGCAGTGATCATCTATATTAGTAATAAATTGTTTTTATTTTTTTTCTATCTGCTAGAATTTTGTATAAACATTGAAATGTGAATATATTAAAAATGGTTAAATGGGCTAAAATATTGCTCTGGGCAAACCTTTGCATGTAAATCTTAAGCAGAGGTAGGTCAAGCCCAGAGGCTATATATGTATGTATATTCTTCATTAATAAGATGAGTTAAGCTGTTCAAGTTGTATCACGTATAGCTCTGTCAGTCTGATGATTCTTCATCATTCCTCATCATTAGTTGATACAGTTTAATCTGTCTACCATGGTTAACTCTTTGCCTAGAGAGATCTTGTACCATAATACACTCATAAATACATGTTAAGTTGATGTTAACCGACTAGTGAAATGTAAATCCTCTAAGTTATGCTCGTATTAAATTTCCCATATTCCTATACCTTTTCAATACCTAACAGTTTTCTCTAATCTGCCCTAACATGCATGTTAAGGTAGCTGTCAATTGTTGCTTGGGCTGGCATTAACATTGACCTTAATCAAGTAACAAACAGTGAAAGAAGAATAACAAATTGAACAGCTATTGTGAATTTCTCTTCACCTCTCTCTCTCTATCTCTCTCTCTCACGCTCGCTTTTCGAGCAACTGTTGTTACAATTAAAGAGATTTCTGTTATATAATCGAACCGCGAACGAAACCAATTCACAATTTATTTTTTAAAGGTTCGTGACAGAGAAAAAGATGACAAAATCTTCAACAACCAAAAGATTTGTGACATATCATAAAAATACATGTAAAATGTGTTGTAAAAGTAAGATAAAGACAGTTGCAGTGTAATAATTGAGACACACACACACACACACACTCACACAGAGAAACACATTTGCATATACTTAACACACATCTATAGATAGATATATAGATAGTCAGCTTTTATGTGGGTTATGTAGAAACGAAGCCATTTGCGATCTTTTGTCTAAGCATTGAAATGCGGTTTTATTATGCGCCTCTCACGATTCGCTTGACGCTGGCCTCAATGCGATAAAGGAAACTCATCAACAGCAGCAGCAGCAGCAGCAGCCGAGAAATACATTTTCCGGACGTACAAAACTTTTCATTTCAATAGCTGCGTTAGACCAAAAACAAGAACTGTAGAAAGAGAAGCAGGGAGAATAGTCGCAGGAGGCGGAGGCCCACGGGCGTGTTAAGTCTTGAAACGTGGCGCAAACAAAAAAGTGAAAATAAAAATTGTTGTGCACAAGGACATGCCATGCCTCAGTGTATATGTGAGCACACACACATATATATATATACATGTATATAGCCAGACAGCTCTGCTTTGGGCTCTTGTGCATGCACAGGAATAACCAAATAGCCTGGAATGCCCAAACCACAGAGCCGAAGCCACAAACCATTTGCATAAAAAACAACTTCAGCCACAGATAGAGCATCAGCATCAGCCGCAGCCACAGCCACAGCCTCAACTCCAGCCTTTGTGCACCTGGGGAGCTCAAACTACGAGCTGTGTGTGAGGACAGATTGCTCCAGCTGCCATTGCCAGAAGCAAAGTAAAGTAAAGTGAAGCAACATGAAAGTCAAATGGAATATGCTTACAGATAGCCTATTAATAGCTAATCAAAACAAACAACAGCTACGTTATAGTGTTGTAAAACGTTAAAGCAAATGTAAATAAAAAAGTGAATTCATTATCAATGACTTATTTAGCCTGAAAAAGTTCATAGTTTGTAGCTTTAAGCATAATCTAAGAAAAATAGGACAGCTAGCAGTGTTGCATAACGTTAATAAAACAATACTCAAATAAACGAGTACTATCTAATTAACAGTCAAATAAAGTTCATAGGGAGTTCGGTTTTAGGGAAGAAACGAAATGAATATGCAGCAGAATAAATGAATATGCACGGTAAATCGATATCGTTATCGATAACAACAATCTTCCAGCATTAATTGGCAGTAAAACCTGTGCTCACAGCTCATAAAATGCGACGTGATACGCCTATACGACTATGATAATATGCCCCATTATAAACGGTAAATTAATTTTAATTAGCCAGCCTGACTATGGGCATATACCCCATGAATTCAGCACAGTTAAGTGGTATAGCAAAAAAGAGAGGAAGAAGAAGCAAAATCAGAAGAGGAGCACAACATGCACAGCAATTGGCAAGACAGGCTGCGAAGTTGCGATTCTAGATGGGCATGGCCAATGCCATTTGCCAGTTCTATTGAATTTCACTTTGGCTTAGAATGCAAACGAAGGTGGTCAAAGGAAGAGCGAGATGCGAGAGAGGGAGAGGGTAGATAGCGCTAGCTGAAACTAGTTGGAGTGCGTGTTCTTATTCCATTTCCATTTTTCTTCTTTCGCCTGGAGCCATTCAGTTAGCTGGAATTCAAGCAGGCAAAACTGCAAGTAATCTGATTGCGCAAAAACCATTTAAAGCTATTTTTAAAAGAACTTGCGGACTAGCTGAACTCGGACTCGGACTCGGTCTCGAACTCGATGCTCGCACTCGATGTTCGCTGCTCGGACTCGATTTCAGCTGAACTCTTAACTTGGCTGGCACTTTTAATTGGCTGTCTGCTGCGTTAGGGGAGTTGGATTTAATTTTGTTTTTTGTTATTTTGTTTTTTCTTGTACATATGCCCTGTAATTGGTTAGAGAGGGCATGATGTTCCCATGCAAATGTATGTAAAGGTCAGCAGAATGCCATTTGTGTAACCCTCATGGTAAAATATATGTTCTTAACTTGAATGACTAGCCAATTTTATATACTTAAGCTGCCCCTCTCTCTCACTTCTCTTCTCTTTTTGAACGCTTGGTTCTTGTAAACTACACGAGTTGAAGACTTCAAAATCGTTGAATATATATTGTTTTATAGCAGAGTTAACATTAGTTTAAACTTTTTTCCGTAGTATCTATAAGTAATCCATATTTTAGTAGCATAACTTATGTTTCTCTGTGTGTGTGTGTATCTTTCTGTATATGACTACTCTACATGCTCAAGCTTAACCACCGGGGGTATCTTCTAGTTGTGCATTGTCAACTCTAACTCCGCTCTCCTCACATTGTTGCTCTGTTGATTAGCACATGTTGCAGTTGTCATCGGGCGGCAGACAAACGGTTCGCTCAGACAATGCCCACCTCATCAACAAAGCCAGCAATTTGCTCGTCAACACAGGCACAGGTAAAAGGCAGGTAAGACAAGGCTAGGCAGGGTAGGGCAGGGCAGGGCAGTCAGGTAGACAAGCTCGTCAGGATGACATGCTTAGAGCTTCATCCTTTTGTGAATGACATACACACACATACACACAGGCACACATTTTGATTGATCAATCAATCATAACAATATTAATGTGTATGCCACAGTCTGTAGCACGTGTCTATTATGCCAATGAGCATTTATTAGACGCCATTAAAGCCAATTTTTCTTTTTCAGAGCAGCCCAGGCCAGGCCAGTTTGTCTAGCAGTCAGCAGTTAACCTGACCATAATAGCATTTAGCCTATTTATAGATCACATCGATAGCCAGCATGTGCATGTGCATGCATGACTTTCATAAATATGCAACACTTTAATTGCACATGCGCATGCGCATCCTTTTGCTCTGCTGCAGCTGCAGTCGCAGTCGCCCG